TCGTTTGTTGTTGCCCTCTTTGGATACAAAACATGTGGTAGATCATCTCCTCTTAACTGCACGCCTTGTATGTGTCTAGAATGATCAAATCTTTATCAAACCTTTTGTATTCACTGAATTATATCACTTCCTGGATTCATTTTAAAAGAACACAAATGAAAAAGCATGGCGTTGCAAATACATTGGCCAAATGTCTCAAATAACCATATCATTGATGCACTTCCCTCATCAATTATTGTCACAATGAAGACGTACCTCTGTCTTTGGACGGTTCTATTGGGGTTTTTGAAAGAAGCTGTATCCAACAGTAAAGTGGAGGGTTTTTCCTCGTTTGCCCCGACCGTGGGTCAGTTTTCCACGAGTTGGGAGAGATGTCCTTGATGTTAGTGTTTTCCCTCTCTTCATTATCTTTTGATGAAAACTGAGCTAGAGGGCTAGAAGGTGCAATGCCTGCGTTTCAGCACAGTGCTGCTGAGTCGGGCTCCTCTTGGTCAAAACAATGGACGGTGTAGAATCTACGGTTCAATCTTTGGATGAATGGATTTCTTTCTTGTGAAAAGGTTAAATCCATGCATGGATGACGGTCATCTTGTTCTCCATTACATGGATGGGTCCTTTTACTTTTACTGAAGCAACGTATCAATCTGATTCTCTCATTCTGTGAGCATTTTCAGTTTTTTAAAACACTTTTAAGAACACACGTCACAGTTCGCTCAAACCCGAGAACCGTCTTGAAGAGAAGCTGACTTTGGAGAGGGGACATCGTTTGCTGCCTGAGTTGGAATCGTTGTCACTCTGCTTGGCTTCAGATGTGACAGTTACAGTATGTCTTCCCCAGGTGGTGGAAGTGTCCACCTGGAACTTGGATCTCACTTCGTCTCCATTCTGTCACCAAAGCAGTCAGTCTTTTTTTTTCTATTTCTCCCTGTTATCATGTTGTAGTTTGCTTTTCATCCTCGGGAACGAGTTACAGGCGGCGATCGCAGGCTGTCGCTGACAAAGAAATGAAAAATACAAGGATTTGCTGAGATGAGATGGAGTGAGTCGAAAAAGTAATCTCTCTCTAAAGAATAAAACCGCAATCGTCTGGCTTTGCTGCAGTGCAGATGTTCATTGCTCTTACCCGCTTTGTTGTCGTTTTGCTACTTTCCTTGCACCTCTACCTTCATGGGGGTTGCCTTGTCAGAACTAGATAATTCTTTATTTGATTTTTAACGTTCATTGGCAGGTCATTTGACGAGCCGGAGAGTTGGCTCAGCAGAAATCCTCTCAACGCCATTTTTAACGGCCAAATAAATGGCACCATAAACCTCTTGGATAATCTCAAAGAAGTACAAGGCAGTCCTCCCACGCAGCGCTTATGGCGTCTTCTGTGCCAGCTTCTACCCCGGGCAGATGGCCAGAACCGGACTCAAACCCAAGAAAACAGGTTTGAACCGTTAATAAATCTATCCGCGAGACGGTAATAATGATGGACGATGACAAAGTGACAAGAGAGAGTTATGGAAACAGCGTGCAAGAAAGCCTTAATAGGTAATTAAGCAAAGGGGGGCGGGGGGGTGGGGGGGGGACACCTCAGGAGAAAGATATTGATGATGTCATCTTTGGTGGTGGGAGATGTTATCCGAGATGTAAGTGGGAAGACGATTCAAACGGACCGATTCCCACTCAGCAAGTCAAATTACTATTGGGCTCATCAACGTGCGCTTCGGCTCAGGTGTGATTAGGCGCCTGGGCGGCGGCGTCCATCAGTTGACCTTTTGACCACGAGCAAATCTTTTCAATACCACTCTACAAAAGGTACCCCGCCCGAACTCTTCCACGTTCCCCCCCCTTGCCTCACCGCCTGTTTGCGGTTCTGTGACGAAATGGCAAAGTTTGAATGAATGAATGAAATGTGCTGTAGAAACACTTGCCGCGGCTCGCTGTTTGTCCGCTCTCCCGTTGTTCTGTCATAACTGGTACCAATCAAACGTGTATCATCTCTTGGAATCAGTGGCTGCTTCTGTGCCGAACAGAAGCTTTGGGAAAGCTCCCCCCCTCCTCCCCCAAACCCCCCTTCTCCTTCTGTTGCCGTGTGAAAAAGAGTTGTGTGCTTTGACAGTAATTGCGTTAGCGTATGTGTTTCCATTAAAGCCGTCTCCCCGCCACGCTGCGCGTTGACGGCATGCTGTCGGCAGGCGCTTCCACTCGGTTGTGACTAAGAAGAAAAAAGAAAATAGTTTGCTCTGAAGAGCGGCCCGTGGTGGGCGGGAAGCTTTAACGTAGCGGAAAATTTGTGCCGCCTCACTGTCTATCTCCCTCTGCCGAGGGCCAACGACATGAGTTACGACTAATTTGAAGAGAACGAAGGGGATTGTAGAAAGAAAAGATGAATAAAGGAGAGGGGGGGAAGTGGAATGAAGAGGAGAGAAGACGCACCGGGGGGCGGGGGTGAGGAAAGGACGTGGCATGCAGCGAGCGAAGGTCGGCTCGAGTGACGGACAGAACGGAGAGACGAACTGACAAGATGTCATGCGAAGGCCGAGAAACTGGAAGAGACGGGAGGGGGGGTGATTGGTGTGTACGTGAACATGGAGACAAATGCCCCCCGCTAATGCAGCAGGGGGGACAAAGGCACTCTCTCACCCGTGTGCACCTTTGTGTGTGTGTGTGTGTGTGTGTGTGTGTGTGTGTGTGTGTGTGTGTGTGTGTGTGTGTGTGTGTGTGTGTGTGTGTGTGTGTGTGTGTGTGTGTGTGTGTGTGTGTGTGTGTGCGTGTGTGCGACATAGAGAAAGAGAGAAAAACTAATTCAAACTGCTGAGTCACAATCACTTAAGCTCTCAAAGCGTGAATAATAATGGAAGCAAAAACTAAATCTCGCATTGGCTCCAGCTCCTTTGCAGAATACGGGGGAGAGCCGACTCAGCTGAACATGGTGATATAAAACATGTTTCCTCATCCAGGTAGAAGTTACACTGATTAAAATCTGGCAGGCCGAGTCGCTCACTTCCTGTCGTCACTCATAAATCATAAAGTAATGTTTCCCTTTGGATTTTCTGTAAAACGTGGAGGGGGAAACGCACGGGCGACAGGTTGAAACTGTGGGATTGAAACCACTGAAAAATACAGTCATTGTTTGACTTATTGTTCCATCCTTTGGGGACAGATATCGAAAGCCTTAAAAGCTGGATTTTCCTACTGATCAAGTTCGAAGTGGGGATGCAGTTTACGCTGTGGATTTCAGCGGCTGCTTTCTATTTGCTCCGTGAACGAGAACTGTGGTTGAAATGAAATTGTTTGTAATGCACTTTATTGGCGGTGATGATGCGGTTCCCCCTGAAAGCAGGAGGGGCCGCGGCGTCGGGTGTGTGGAGGAAAAACAGGTCTCAGTACGCAAATTGGTTGAAAAGTACACCATCTGATTTAGCGCCTTAATCCGTATCCTTACGCTTCCCTCTCCTCTCTTTTGTATTCATATTTTTCGATCTCCCCCCCCCCCACCTCCTCCGTCCGCCCCCGACTGTTCCGCCTCAGCCTCCCTAACACCAATTATACTGTGTCAAATCCATGCATGTCAGCTTCCAGATCCCTAATCATTCCTTCTCTCTTTCATCTGCGAGTCCTTTGTTCCTTCCCCCTCTGTAACCTTTTTCTTCTGCGCTCCTCGCCCTACCCCACCCGTCCGCCGCCGCGTGCGCACAGCGCGTCCCCCTCGATCCTCTTTCCATTCACCTGTATCACATTAACTTATCCATCCTCCTTTTGAATTCTTTTTTTTTAAATTTATTTTCTTCTCATTGCCTGTGGCCCTTCTCACACATGAACTGCATTCAGTGAATGTTCGGGAAACTTTATGCATCGGGTTTGCACGACGAACGAACAAGTCCGTGAGGCAATCTTCAGTAAAGGTGGCAAAGGTGGTCCTGCAAGGTCGGGCCCTTGTGTCTTTTCATTTACACAACCAAGATGACAAAGGAAAATAAAATCTCGCCGGGCACGCTTCATGCTCCGTGGCGTACAGCTGGCGGAGGCAGTGTTGCATTATGTGAAAGTGTAGGATCCAGTTTTTTTTTTTTTTTGGAGCTTGGCCCTTGAGAGGGACACAATGCCGGGAGTCATTTCCGCTGCTACGGTTCAGTTCTTTATTTCTACTTCTCGACACTATATCAAATCCACTGGAGAGAGTGGCTCATTCAGCTCTTTATTTTATCAGGATTATATTCTTATTTTGGAATCAACAAATGGGCAACCTTTATTTTTTTGTCCTTATGTCGGTCCAGTGGTGCGCCCCTTATTAACTACTTTTGACCACCACAAGCCATCATTTAAACACGATCTAGGTTCCATATCTGAGAAAAGATCCGATCAACCAACTTCTCAACAATCTCTTTTCCAATATGGGAAGGTGTGTGTGTGCGTGCGTGTGTGCATTGTGACTGTAGTCACAAAGGGGCGGGGCTAAGCAAGGGAGAGCGAGAGCTGTCGAGCTGTGAATGAGGCAGGGGGAGGGGCTTGTTTATTTCTGAGGAGAAAAAAAAAATAGAGCGAGCGAGAGAGAGACACACGATGTTGAGCAAGGGAAGATGGTCGGCGGTGTGAGCGGCGGACGAGAGACGGCGGACCAACGCGGCGGCGGGGAGGGAGGGATGGACGGACACACGGACGGAGAGGGGCAGCGCGCCTGACAGCCGGGCTGCCTGTCGGCCAAACAATGAACGCGCTGTGGTCGCTGCCGGCAACGCATCGCCACGGCAACCGGAGCCAGAGGGGTGCGCGCTGAGCGAGAATGGCAGAGAAAGAGGGGAGGGTGAGGAGGAGGGGGGTGGGGGGGGAGAAGAGGGAGTAGAGATGGAAAGAGAGAGGGTGTCTTCTCCCCCCCTCACCCACCCACCCAATGGACAGATCCTCCCTCTGTGTGTGTCCTTACACGTGTGCGTGGTTGATCATGTGTGTCTGCGTGTGGTCGGTGTATGTTGGTGTCCAGTTGTCTGACCCTATGATCTTCTGCCACCATCCAGGTGAATACAAGAAGGATGAGCTGCTGGAGGCGGCGAGGTGAGTACCACACTCTGCACGCTCTCTGTGGCGCTTTCATCACGTTTTGTTTCTCCCCTCCCTCCAGCTTTTCCGCCTTGTTTTGCTTTGTGTCATCCTTTCGTGTATTCCCTCTCCTGCTTCCTTGTTCACATGCTCACTTCTCAGGCTCCCTCTCATCTCCTGTTTCCATGCTTGCTCTCTTCTCTCCAGTTTCTGGTCCTATCGTCACGTTTGTCCTTGTCTCTTCTCCTCTTCTTTCATTTCCTCTTGATATTTTCATCATGTCCCTTTTGTTATTGTCTCTGTTGGTCCGTCTTCCGTGTTCCTACTTCTTTGTTACCTCCTCTTCCTCTTTGATTCCGGTCCTTTCATATCATCCTGTCCTCTTCTCTCTCCATTCCTTACTCTGGATTTCTTCATTTCCTGTGTCTCCCCTGTCATCTTCCTGTGGGATTCCTTCTCTTCTCTCGTTTTCCGCCTTTTCCCTCTTGTGTTTTCTTAGCCATCTGTCATTTCCTTTCCTCATCCTTCCCCTCTCCCGCCCCCGCCTGCTCTTCTCATCTCGGTTCCCTTTTCTCTCCTTTCTTCTCGTCTCCCTCCGTCCCTTCATCTCTTAAGCTTCCTTCTCTTTTGTCTGTGTGCCGCCTGCGATTCCCCTTCGACTCCCATTTCCGTGTGTGTGAAATGGTTGATTACTTCTTACTCACTTCCCACTACAACTGCGCGCACACACTTGCGCTCAGCTGCTTCTCTAGTCATGTTTTCATCGGATTGAGAGACGATGTGGGCCAGTGACTCTTTGGAGGCATGTTATGGTTGCAGGCAGTGCACGTGGGCAACGTGTTTGTGTGCGCTTGTGTCGATTGCATGAGGAAGTGGCACAGCTTTCGTTTGGGATTGTGTGTGTGTGTGTGGGTGGCTGAGTGCTCAACAGCCCCTCTCTCTCTATCTCCCTCTCCCAGGGACACACACACACACAGGGAAGCAGCTGGCCTTGCATAGCAGCGCCCCAGTGTGTTATGGGGTCAGCAGGCTGTTTAAGTGCGACCTGCGACCTCAGCCGCTGACTGGCTCGTCCCCCCATGACACCGTGACGTAGGAGAACCGAGCCCGCCTCCGTCTGAAGGTGTCGACCCGCGACTCGGTGCTTCCTCTTTATTCCCGAGTGGCATCGCTGGCAGCTCGCGTAAAGCAAATCAACACTTATTTCCCTCAGACGCTGACGCGTTTACACTCACACATTCTCCCGATTCTCGAGATGTCTGCATCCAAATGCGGGCTCCCTTGTGTGAGGCTACTAGCGGGAGCAAATCAAGGGGTGGGGGGCAGAGCGGCTGTGCAGCGGATGTTAGAGTGGAGATTGAGGGTGGTCCGTTTTTTAAAGGAGAAGCGAGTGGGAGGGCAGGTGGGCAGCAGATAATGGTAGTTGAGGATGTGAACGTCTCCATCCCTGAAAAATAGGAGGAGGCGAGGAGAGCGAGGGAGCGCCGGGGGAAGAGAAGAATGATCCCTTTCTTTCCATCTGACGGCTCCTTCCTTTACGGCTGTCACAGGGATGATGGTTGTGCCGGCCGTTGCCGTGGCGACTCTCTCTCCTCGTGGTCACTCAATGCCAGGGCGGCGTGCCGAGGAACCAGGAAGCCCAGCGCAACAACATAAACACAATCTCTCCGCTGCACTGCGGCTCGGCTAAATGGCCTCGTCCAGCCAATCTGTCACACAACACACACACACGCGCACACTTTCAGTGCATTCCTCAAACATTCCTTTGGTGTGGACAGAATCCTTCGCTTTTTTCTTCCCATCCATCTCCCCCACGTTCTCCCCCCTACAGTGTGTGTGGCGTTAGGTGCTGGCTAACGTGTGTGTGTTTCTGTGTGTGTGTGTGTGTCTGCAGGAGTGGAAACGAGGAGAAGCTAATGGCTTTGCTCACTCCGCTCAACGTCAACTGCCACGCAAGCGACGGCCGCAAGGTAAGAGGAAAAAACACACACGTTCACACACGCACACACACACGCACACACACACACGCACGCGCGGTTCCCGGAGGGGAAAGTGAATCGACGCTCTCCAGCAGACCTGAGCGGCCTTCTCTTGTTCGTCGGAACGAGCCGACGGGAGACGCGAACGGCCTTTTTGCGGAGAATAAGCTCGCGTTCATAACGACGAGATCAGCATCTAGTTAGTCCCCAGGTAAGGAAGGACGTGTCCCCGCGTTTCTCCCTGCAGTCCTCTTTTCAGACCGGACGTGGGTGAAGACTGCTGCCAGGTTGGGCGACCGATGGATCGGCCCAGTGACGGATGAAAAAAACAAAATAAAAATCGCAGCTAAAGGGAGCATTTCACTCCTTGTGTTTGGTAACCGACGTGTAAACGCCATGACGGCCTCGAGGAACGCGCCTTGCTGTAATTCGGGCTACTCGAGTGCTGTTGAAGGCTGCGGCCTGCAGCCATCGCATCGACGTGTTATTTCTTTCCTTCGGGGACAAAGACGAGGTATCGTTGAAATGGTTCGTTAGCAGACGAGGCGAGCAGCGGAAGCCGTGTCGTGGAGTGACCTCTCCCGCGCCCTCTCGGCGTGTAACTCTCTAATTGCTCAGGCTGAAAGCGGTCATGCACAGTGAGTGGAATATATTTTCACCGCAGTGAAGTTTTATTTCTTTAAAAAAAAAAAAAATTTCAATTGCAGGGTGATGGTGATTTACATTCCCACTCCGAAGATAAATTATTCAGTGAGTTTAGCGCAACAGCTTCATGTATTGGACGAAAGTGAGTGACAGCTCACATTCTCCCACTTGTCATGCTCGTCCTGAGAAAATCCAATAATGGAAATCAGTCGGCTGGCAAATATGAGTGTGCAACCATCATTAGCTTTCATTTAGATTCAGCTCAGACTTTTACCTTTTTTTTTTTTCCTCCTTTTTCTTTGAAGACAGGGTTCAAATAAAGAGCATGTCATATCTGATTGGTTTCTTTACAGACTATAAGCGCGACGATATCGGCTATTTTTTTGAAGTGTGATGAGTATAAAGGGAAGAAAGTTATTTAAACTGAGCCAACAAAGCAATCTCCACAATTTATTCTGCCCAAGAAATGGACTTTTAATGACATTAAGTAGAAGTGACAGACCATTATAATGAAACATAATACCTCGCTATTGTAAGACTAGTGAGAAGGGGATTTAGATTGAGACAGAATGGCCTGACGCGATAACACCAGATTAAATTCATGCTAAATATTGCACTGTGGCATCGCACATCAATCATCACTCAGAGAGACACACACACACACAAATCGTTAAAACGACACTAATGATAATCATGGAGAAAACAGCATAGCAGGAGCCTTATGATTGGTAATAATGATACTTCTCTTTCAATCAAATAAGAGCCCTCTCTCTTTTTCTCACCCTCCCCTCCCCCCCGTTCTTCTTCTCCGTTTCATTTTAATTGGAAGTGGCTCAGGCCGTCCATCTCTGCTCTTCGACCATGCAGTCGCTTACAAACGGCAATCTGAAGCGTAGATGTACATTGCAAATGCCTCGCGGCTGAACAAAGAAACGCTCCGTTTGCACAGACATAAACACACACACACGTCGGCACGTATGAGAGAGGAGAGCAAACCCCATTCAAAGCGATCCTGTGTGTCCTGGTGTATGTGGACTCCCTGTACTGTCCTGTAGTTCTGGTCTGGGACGTGTTGTTCTTGGTTTTTAGTTCCAGTTAAGGGAGCCCGTTAATGTATAATGTTGCGATGCCTTTGTGCTCAAAAGACGTCCAGTTAACAGATGGATTTTGTAATCGAGTGGACGCCGTTGAGGTGGAATATAAAAGTTCATGTCTCTGAAACAAGGGGGTGGGCCCCTATGCGACCTGTGGGGGGACCCAATTCCACACTTTCTGCCTCACTTTCACCAAAAGATAGTTTCTAACTGTTCACTCAATATTTTATTACACTATACAGTGCAGACAACAGCAGTATAACTGTGTGTGTGTGTGTGTGTGTGTGTGTGTGTGTGTGAGAGCAGGCGTATGATTGAGCGCCCATCAGAGTGGGATATTATTAACACAGCTGAGTGGAGAGCGTTATCAAGCTGCCTCTATTGAAAGCTACCCTACACACACACACACACACACACTTACTCTTGCAGACATTGCTGCCTCAGGAAAAACGTCTGCTTTCTGCGCTGGTGTGTGCGTGCACACACACACGCACACACACAGTCACATCATTTGTTTTCCGCCCCCTTTTCAACTTTTGTTTCTTTCCTCACTCGCTGCTTCCAGCATCTTCGACCTCTGACCCTCAGGTTACGCGTCTCATCTTTCATGTTGTGGACCCTCTTGAGCTCCCTCTGTGGTGGACGTGCTTGTGTGCCCTTTTGTTTTTTTTTCTGCGCGTTTGTTGAACGTTGTGGATTTTTGGATCCGCATCCGACCAGAGAGAATCATCCCGCCCACCCGCAGCCCGGCTGGCTGGGACTTCAAAGGGCGAGAAGAACACGACCAAGATTCACATTCAGAGAGCGAGAGAGAGGAGGAAGACTTTCATTGAAGTCCTGTTTAAATGTTGATTATGGGAGCTCATCCCGCTAGTGCCGACCGTGTTTACCATCCCGCGTGTGCTGAAAATATTCCAAAAGTGATATCTCAAAAAGTGAACTTTTTAGGAACTTTAGGAGCATCAGAAAACACGGCTTGGCAGCGTTGTTGTTGTGAGGAGAAGCTGCGAGCCGCTGCTGACGTATCTCAGGTCGCCGGTTTCCCTTCAGCACTTTACACTGCGATGGGAATGCGATGGGCCACGACACGTTGTGGTTGTTGGAGGGATATTACGGGAATGACGTCTTTTCACCCAAGATAAATTGTCCTTAATATTTATTTAACTTTACCTACTACAGAATTAAATACATACATACATGGAACTCCTATAATTTAGAAGTAATGCATTTGAGGTATTTATTTCAGATCTGTATTTGTATTTGTCTTCCACGCTGTGGGCGGAGCTTCGCTGTCAGCTCCTTATTGTGCGCGTGTTTGTCTGTGTGTCAGCACACAGATTTGCTAATATTGATCCAGTTATCCGACACTGCTCCTCTTGTTAGCGTGTCCACCTGCTGAAGTGCAGCTCTGACCCGAGTACTAAGAGTAAAGGATAAATAGAAGCAGTGGTTCCCAAACCGTTGCTGTCACGGCCCCCAAACCATCTTTGTTTTGAATCTATTGTATTGTTATATAAACCTAAAGAAACATCTTTACCTCTTCCGATGTATTGTGGATGCGGCACGTCTCTCTCTCTCTGCTCGTCCACTTGTAACCTGAGCCGCTCTGTGTGCGGATACAACACACCGTGTGCCAAGGCCTCGTGTCGGCTTCGCTCTCCTTGTTATTTTATTTTTTTACCGTCGTGGCTGTGCTAAGCCCCCGTGGGGGGGTCCTGCCCCCTACTTTGGGAACCACTGAAATAAAGGTTTTAGGTGATTAAAACACAACAGAATGCTTTATATTTTTTCTTATTGAGATTGTGCGCTCTCAGTGAGTCACTGCGAAATAACTTGTATCATGTTTTTCACTTTGGTGCATCGTATAATCATAATTCATAATGTATCAAAGCACTTTATGGACAGAAGAGATCAAAACCAAAAGATCAAAAGGTGAAATATGTTTCATGGGCCCCAGTGGGCTCTCGTCCTCGCATCCTTCGGTACCCTGAATACTTATTTAATTGGTCATGTCAGGGTCATACGCTGTGACCTGTCGCTGATGGACATCCTCTAAACGTGCAGCGTCCGAGATGTTATGCTCCTGTCAGGACAGGAACGTTTGAGGATCCTGTGGGGGGGGGGGTTTCCACCACGGTGCTGCTGCACTTTCTTAAAGAAGCAAGCGAGAAAAATCAAATTTCCGCTTTACTTCTCCTCCTTACGCTATCTGGAGGGTCGCTCTGTGGAAAAAAAAAACCCCGTCACATCTTTGCGTCATAACCAGGGGGGAAAAAAGAAGAGAATGCTGCAGTGGAGGAAAGTTTGAGGATGTTGAATGTATTCTGACCAGATAGAGGGTGCAGGAGTGACACTCCACACAATTTAGTTTCTGCCTGCTGAGGTCACAGTAGAGCACCGTAATAACATTTTCAGCTGCAGCTGCTTTTGCATGACTTGAATCCAAATGGGCTGGAGAATGCAAGACGAGACAAGACTGTCTCTCTCTCTTATATACACACACACACACACGAAAACATGCATGAACCCGCTGCTCTCACAGGATTGACAGATTGAGGAGGTGGAGCTTAAACTGGATCTGACCCTGGCAACAACATCATAGTGATGCAGCAAGGTTTTAAGCGGTTTATTTGTATGTAAATGTACTCAGGAACTGATCCCTGGTTTACACGCTGTGCCCCCCCCGTTTCTATACAAAGGACCACACTGCATTAATGATGAGGATGATGACTAACTGTGTACCGTGTCCCGCTGCTTCCAAACGCCGCTGTCACATCCGGTGGATACGAGTGTACCATCTGTCCGCCCGGCTCAGCCTCAGCGCCTCGCCGCTTCTTCTTCTGCTGCTGCTGCTGCTTCACATCTGAACTCCGAGATCACTCAAGATGATTGTTTCTTTTTTTTCAAATAGCTTTTGACATTTTGCCGCTGCAACGCTAAGCAGGAGACGGACTCAAAGAGATGTGGCACCCGGACTTATATTTTCACTTTTTCTCTTCTTCTTTTTTTAAAATTTTGCAGTATTCTGTCTTTGTGAACAAAGCCGCGGTTCCACAACTGTTCTCCATCTACTAAATAAGCAGCCAGCAGTGAGAACATGATCATTTTTTTTCCATTTAAAAACAAAAGTCTGAAAGTTAGGGAACCTGCACTCTGCAAACCAGCGTTTTGTAAACAATTTTGTTTTGCATCATGGCTTATGAAATAATGTTGAAATAATGGAGAAATTCCTTCTTTAAAAAAAAAAAAAAAAAGTGACCCCAGCATCCCCAAATAGGACTAGAAAGTTGTCCCCTTCCAGCTGATTTGCCCGGCTTGATAAACGGTTGTGGGATTTGGGTTGGTTGGTTGGCTGGATGCAGATCCATCCCATTCACATCTGCATCCTGTTGACGGGAGTCACATCTGCCCCCCCCGGCAGTCGTGACTCGGGTTCATCGTTCAGGGCATAATGTTGTTGTCATCAGAATCCCTTGCGATGACACGATCGTCGAGGGATCGCTGCATTCCAGCCCCTAAAACGAGTCGAGAGCTGTTACCTCATAGTCATGTCTTTTCAGATAACAGCAAAACTAAAAGCAAATAAGTGCGTTTCCATCCAGACTAATTCAGTTCATGTGCCATTAAATGAGTCAACAGGAAGAATCTACAGCAAGATGACATAAAGTCAGTGACACATGAAAACAACGTGACGGACGTCATGTTTGTGTCAATCCGAAGAACAGTACAGTCTCTTCAGTAAAGTAACACCAAAGTTAAGTGACGAAAGACGTAGATTTTATTTTGATTTGGGTTTGATTCTGTCTGATGTTGTGCACCAACCGCATATTTTGTTAATTAATGTTCCTGATTCCCATGAATTTGAGGCGGTTTGGAAGGCAGATTGTCTCTGGAAGAGGGTGTGCTATCTACGAGTTAGATCGGCCTGCTCCATGCAGCAGCTTTAATCCCAGTCTTATTCACAACTTGATCCCCAGTTCATCCAGTAAATGTAAAAAAAAGAAGCTTTTAAATCCTGACGGAGGGGCCCATGACAGAGTGGATATCACACCAGCTTAGAAGAAGAATGGCCTTGGTGGCGAGCATGCAGAGCTGAAGCCACCTCATCTCAGTCCCATCTCAAAGCATTCAGCGCTCCGGCTTCTGCTGGAAAAACGCAGTCGGGCTTTATTTCTCTCTGAAACGTCTCGCAGCGAGAAATGGTGCACGGCTCCTTTGCACACAGCACTGAACAAACGTGTGGGCTAACATTTGCTTCTTGTTTTGTCTCTCTTACCCCCCCCACCGCCTTTCCCACTGTGTTTCCTCCCCCCTGTGCTCTTGTGGTCTCTCTGTCTCTCTGTGTTACTTCCTGACTCTGCAGTCCACTCCGCTTCACCTGGCAGCGGGATACAACAGGGTGAGGATAGTTCAGCTGCTACTGCAGCACGGAGCAGATGTCCACGCCAAGGACAAGGGGTACGTACAAACACCAACAACCCCCCCCCACCCTGCCCCCACCACCACAACAACAACAACTAACAGGCTTCTAAAGCAGGCTGACGCTTTGACCTTTGGATAAACTATCAGTGGCAAGCAGGCTGGTAAATATTTGTTCATCATCGTTGCATCATTAATGGCTCGCCACCTCTCCGCAGACTTCCATTCCGATAATGTTGCAGAATTCATCCTGCTTCATGCATCACAAATTTGGGGAAACTAGGCCGCGCAATGAGACTTTTGACCACATTAGCACTCTGGTGGTCGCGTTTAGCTGAAAGAAGCGTTGCCATGTGAGTTGTTTTGTCACTGCAGAGGGAATCCGCAAGGCTCTTTAGTTCTAACATGATGTTAACATGAATATATTAATTTTCCAATTGTTTGGCATTTTAAAATGCACAATTATTTGATACTAATAACTTGTTTTTGTGTGTTTGGTTGTTGTTGCAGTGGTCTGGTGCCGCTCCACAATGCCTGCTCCTATGGACATTATGAAGTGACTGAGCTGTTGCTAAAGGTAACTCGCTCAGCCAATAGCTCTGTGTGGGTTTGGTAATGTTAATGCTGACAACAAAAACCGCCTTTGTTTGCAGAGCTTTTTAAGGACTAACTTAGAAATAAATTCGAATAATAAATTGCCCCCCTGCGATGAAACCATTTGCTTCTTTTCCCCCCCACTGTGCTTCCCTGCCTTTTTATTAATCCAGCACTCGCTGTCCTCCCTCCCCAGCACGGGGCGTGTGTGAACGCCATGGACCTGTGGCAGTTCACCCCGCTCCACGAGGCGGCGTCCAAAAACCGGGTGGAGGTCTGCTCGCTGCTGCTGAGTCACGGGGCCGACCCAACGCTGCTCAACTGCCACAGCAAGAGCTCCGTGGACATGGCGCCCACTCCCGAGCTCAAGGAGAGACTCGCATGTGAGCGCGGCGCCCGCTTTACACGAACGTGCCGCGTTAATGGATGAGTTGTTTTTCGAGGAAAAGGGCCGGAGCCGCTGGGTTGAGCTTATTGGAGATTCCCGAGAGGGAATCTCGACCCTTTTGATGAGAGAACTGTTGTTGTTGTTGTTTTTTAGCCGCTGCATACGGCTCGATTAGGGGTCGCAGAAGACGAGAGAGTCAAAGTGGACAAGGAAAGTCTTTGTCTCTGCCAGAGAGCCCTCTGCAGCTCTTTGAAAGTGAATTAGTAAAATGAGTTCTCGATCAAAGCAAATACCAAATGCTGCTCTAATCATGTTTTTGCCGTTCTGAGTTTGTGTGCATCTGAAGGACCGTTGCTTTTCTGATTGGGTTGCGTTGTCTGTAAAAGCATCTCAGAGGGATGTCTGCTGCAATAATAAGACTTACCATATTTTGGTATGTGCTGGTGAAATAGGAGTTTATTCCTGCAGCAAGTGCACAGTAGCTCGTTGGTGTGTGTCTCCTGTGTAGATATGAAGCAAAAGTAGCAGGATTCAGGGTTCAGTAGAAACTTTGTGCTGTTTTTTTTTCGTCCTTTCCCGGAGCAAATTGTTATGTGGCCATTACCGACTGTGAAAAATACTTTGGATGTGTTTTATTGAACCCTTTGTTAACCTGATATTAAGCCCGTTGTTCCTGGGAAATGTGGGATAGATGGGTTTTTTTTGTCAACAGTAAAAAAATCGATGGATAAATTCAGCCCGGATCACCCTTATAAAAAGCGAACATTGTCTGCTTGGATGGTTTTGTATCAGTAAGACGGACAGCTACAGTATTCTAAATAATGAGTTTAACCTTTGTTTACACACTGAATTCCACTCTCTGTGATGAGATTTTAAAAGTAGTAATTTCCTCTTTTGAAGGCGTCACAAGCCACATTTTTTGTTGAGGCACAGTGGTAAACAAACAAAGCATGAAAAACAACTTCAAGGTTCTCTCGATAGGAAAAAAAAACCCAAACCACCTCCTGAGGCCGATTCTGCTCTCCATTTGTCACGTTGTTTGTTTTCAATCATCCCTCCGCTCCTTTTGAAGACACGTCTCCTTCGGAGTGGCGCCCGATCACATCTTTTAAATGTGTGTCGCTCAGTCAGCAGATAAGAAAGGCCCGACGGAGCGGGTGGGTGGGTGGGTGGGTATGGGGGGGGGGGTATCACAAGTTTCTGCTCCCACTCAAACTGTTAAATCTTTGAAGTAATATCTGTGAAGTATTGGATGCTGGGAGGGTCGTTTGCAAATGCAATCATTTTGTTGTTTTGGTCGGGCGAAGGAGCCCGTGAAGCGTAGAAAAAGGGGGTTTCCATTCAGTTAAATTGCCTGATGCTTTTAGAAGCTTCCGGCTTCTTTTTTTGGAAAATCTGTCGACGTGCGAAAACGTTTACTGAAAAGTCTTCTCTCCGCTTCTCGCCCCGCGCGTTGCAGATGAGTTCAAGGGCCACTCGCTGCTTCAAGCCGCCCGAGAAGCGGACGTGACCAAGGCCAAGAAGACCCTCGCCATGGAGATCATCAACTTCAAACACCCTCACACGCACGAGACGGCGCTGGTGAGACACACACACACACACACACACACACACACACACACACCCGGTGGAGAGATGCTAATGGTGATGTTTCTCTCCGTGTGTCAGCATTGCGCGGTGGCATCGCCGCACCCCAAGAGGAAGCAGGTGACGGAGCTGCTGTTGAGGAAAGGCGCCGGCGTCAATGAGAAGAATAAAGAGTGAGGGCTGTTTTCCGTCTCCTTCATTTGCATCAACGTTCCATCGAGGAAACTGTTTCCAAAAGTCTGACTGTAGATCCGTCTCCCCTCCGTTCGTCTCCCCTCTGTGCAGCTTCATGACTCCTCTCCACGTGGCGGCAGAACGGGCTCATAATGACATCATGGAGGTCTTGCAGAAACACGGCGCCAAGGTAAACCAGTGTTTTCACTGTCGTATGTCGTTATGCAAATGTGCCTTTTATATGTATGTGTCAGTTCACTTCTGCAGCTGCGAGCTTGATACGATTAATATGATGGATACAAAGTGATCGTCTGCTTGGAGGGAATACAGACTTTTATAGAATACTGGTGACTGATTGCATATCCATCATCGCAAATAATTAGATGAAAGAGATGAATAGTTTCAAGAGTTTTTTTTTTTTTAGGAAATTAAACATTTTCAAAAAAAAAATCAAAATAATGCAAGCGGTCTTTTTTTTAAAAACATTTTTTTGAGTCGTCACACAAAGGCGTCTGTGTTGGCAGGTGAACGCCGTGGACACTCTGGGCCAGACGGCGCTGCACCGCGCGGCCATGGCGGGCCACCTTCAGACCTGCAGGCTGTTGCTAGGATACGGGGCGGACGCGTCGCTTCTGTCCCTGCAGGGCTTCACCGCTGCTCAGATGGGAAATGAGGCTGTTCAGCAAATACTCAACGGTAGGCAAACCCTTTGTGTGCTGGTGCGTGGGAGGCTCGGGGCGCGGACACGTGGGCGCCGCGTTTCGGTTGCTACGCAACCGCCGGATTAAACGAAATTGCGTTTGTAAGGTCAGTGATGATACTTTCAGGCTGGAGGTGCTGATTGAGTGAAGGAAAACGCAACATCAGACCATCTGCCGCCTGTAGCTTTGCGTTCACCGTACAGGAATGAGAGTGACAGCGATGTTCCACCCAGCTTTTCTCACAATGTTCAACTATTTCTTTGAGCAGAGCTGCTGCGGAATGAACCTGGCCTGATGTATTGGCAAGAATTGTATGTTGTTCTCTTTGTTTCCTCCACAGCAGTGCGAACAGGGAAGCCGAGTTACAGCAGCAGCACATTCTGCTGAGTGACTGGGAACTGATAAATAATCATTAAAGAATTAAAAAAAGAATGCCAGAGAAAATGTATTTAAAGTTCTGTGACATATTCCGTACATGTGCGTCAAGCGCCACACAGGAAACCGAGGATATGTCCTTTTTTTTTTTTTGTTCCATGCTTTTCTCCAACGTTCTCCCGTTCTTCCCTTCAGAGAACGTCCCGGTGAGAAACTCCGATGTGGACTACAGACTTCTGGAAGCTGCTAAAGCCGGAGACCTGGACACTGTCAAGGTAGTTTGGTTGAAACTCTGCGACTGACCGTTGACATTGACGTCGTCCCCACCGCTGCGTTTCGGGAGGACACAAAGTACAGGACATTTCGTTCCCCTACAAACTATCAATGTGTTTGCTTGAAAAATGGAAGTAACCGTAAAATCAGTATTAATGGCACTGATTGTATCAAATAATTTGCACTCAGGGAGGAGAAATCTGTTTTTAATTGCTTCATTAAGGTTTGTAAATTGTGGAATCCCGTTCTGAGAAATGCGTGTGAACTTGTCCAACCGCAAAATTGAACACAGACAGGATTTATAAATGTCGGCTCTCGGCTGACATTGTGCAGGTTATGCAGAGACACGAGGAGCTCAGTGACTGAGCGGGGAAAAAAACGTATAAATATATCAGTTAATTGCTCCAATAATTAAAAACCTAATCTATAATAATGACTTTCATTCATGTGAAGCAGTGATGCACAACAGAATTGATGAAACTATTGATTGGACTGAAAACTTGGGTAATATAAATTTTGACAGCAACTCAATGCGATTGTGGCACAGATCATCTCGCCTTTTTGTTGTTCTTTTTGCTTACGATGAAACAAAAAGTGTTGACCTGCTCTTGTTGCTGAGTGCATCTTACATCTGCACCACAAACTGTAATCGATCATTTAATGGCGCCACGTTGTCAAATGTCCACCATTGTTCGACTCACGTGAAGGTTTAATCAAAATCACATCATTCACATGTTGTGTTCAAATTCCACTTGCTCATGTTACAGTAACACTTTTCCTGGAAACACACATTTATTTATTTATTTGATCAGGAACAGAAGCGACACGTTAGTGTGAGACAACAGCTTAAGTTCCAGGGGAACGTCTGCCAGCGGCGTGTTTCATATCATTTCCTGTCAAATAGCCCGGCGGCAGGAAACTTTCAAATGGATTTCACACCGTGTCTCCTCGCAGGTTTGATTGGGTTTATTGCAGGAAAACAAGCAGCGACGTTATTTTTGTGCAAACAGCAGCGGGAGTCCTCCTCGGTTCAGCCGACGTGAACCAACCTCAGTTAATTACTTCAAAGTTGTTGCTGTTTCTTTCCCTCTAACCCCACTTTTCACATATTTCATTTCACAGACAGATTTTTCATCATAAATCACGGCGGGTGGGGAGGAGGGGGGGGGGGCAGTGTTACTCTGTCCTTTCTTTTCTCTCAGAGCTTCAGTTTCTTCCTGTTTAATGTTGTTCTCGCTTTATGGGCTTTGTTTTTAAAGGCAACACAAAAACATGATCATAGCCCAACACAAATATGAATCTGCTCAGAGGGACTTCAGGATCAGAAGAGAGTGTGACACCGTCTGTCCTTCACCCGCTAAATCTGTCAAAACGATACAACACGTGTATCAAAAGTATCATAATAAACAAGAAATGCGTCCTACAGAGAAATGTTCCTGTTCGTATTTGTATGAAAATTTCATTTCCTCCCGTTAGAGGGGAAAAAAAGGGATTCCATTTCACGCCAGTTTTACTTCTCTCAATCTGTCAGATCACAATTATTCATCGCGGCTCATCATCCATTTTCAGAGAGAATGTGGTTTTATTGCACTTGAGCATTTAAAAAAAGAAGTAAAAATCCTAGATGAAAACCCTCTTGAAATCACCTCATGTTTTAAAGCCTCGTTACGGCCAGCCAGATATCGCAGGCGTTTTTCTTTTCGCGGCTTCCTCGATCCGATGAGAACAGATATTCGTTCCAATCGTCCCTCTTTTGTCTCCGTTCCCTTCCAGTCGCTGTGTACGGCTCAGAATGTGAACTGCAGAGACCTGGAGGGGAGGCACTCCACTCCCCTCCACTTCGCTGCCGGCTACAACCGAGTGACGGTGGTGGAGTACCTGCTGCACCACGGGGCCGACGTGCACGCCAAGGACAAAGGGTGCGACTCTTGAACATGAGATTCTGGGGATTTACGTCGTGATTTAGAGAGTTCAAGTAAAGTTATGGAAGATGGTGATGATTCCGAACAACGTCTGAGGAGCTGATAATAAAGAAATGCTGCGTGTGTTGTCCCCCCCCTCCCAGTGGCCTGGTTCCCCTCCACAACGCCTGTTCGTACGGCCACTACGAGGTGGCCGAGCTGCTGGTCAGACACGGAGCCTCGGTCAACGTGGCCGACCTGTGGAAGTTCACGCCGCTGCACGAGGCCGCCGCCAAGGGCAAATATGAGATCTGCAAGCTGCTGCTCAAGGTGAGACCGCGATGTGCACGCCCTTTTCTCTGAAGACACAACAGTAACCGTCCTTAAACTGGCCCGTTAGGGGCCAGGATTATTTCTGACAACGTCTAAACGAGGCCTGTGAAGTGTTGCAGTTTTCCAGCTGATTGTGTTCCTCGTTTTTTTTTCCTACCGCGAAAACCGTGTGACAAATCTGCTCCATGTTGCATAAGACGACAACGTGGTCGACGCACGCAGCAAACCCATCAGCTGCAGGGAACATGTGACGCTTTAATTCCCTCAAATGTCTCTGTGCACTAAGATGAAGCTGAAAGAAAATATCAAATTAACTGATAATGAAAATCAACATTTACAGAAACATAATGTAACATGGGATTAGGCATAAGTTGTGTACACGTGTGTTACAGTGCAGTAAATGACACAAAGAGAAACCGGCAGCCGACTAGAGTACTGAGTACTGAGCGTGAGATTGACAAGCTCACACTGCCTAATAAAAAATAGACTGCAACAGTTCACTGCAGCGGTCGCAAATCACAAAGAGCGATGGTGCACATGATGACGTGCGTGCGTGCGTGCGTGCGTGTGTGTGGTGCAGTGGAGTTACTTGTACGGCCATTAAGTGGTTGAGTGGAGTGGGCCGCGTTAAGGAAGGTGCCGTCTTTTGGGGCAAAAAGCAGCTTGCGAGTGAAATGGAATCCTACTTATCAGATGAGTCATGAAGCCGGCGGCTGAAGAAAACGATTCACACCCTCTACGGTCTCTTAAATGAACCTCGATGCCTTTTATACATTTCTAACACGTTTAGATTAACGGTGTATTCATTCACTCACTCTTAATGGCTCCCAGAGAATTAAGTAGTTAAGTAAGTCGCTCTGGACAAAAGCGTAGGCGAAATAACAAAGAGAAAGAAAGTAGAGGATGGAAACGCACAGCCATTAGCAGCTCTTTTGCCGGGGAAATCGCCGAATTGAAATCTACATTTAACGTTCTAGTAAACCGTAGGTGTGAAATGCTGTGCTGAATGCATGTTGATAACCTTGAAACACATTATGATTGACAAGGTGATTGTGCAGTTCTTGTGGACACTGTTAACAGTTGATAGTTTTGATAAGTTTGATAATAACTCTGCAAAATCCTTAGAAGGATGCGTCTTTTAATAAGCAATAACAATCCCCAAAGACTCACCGTTTACATTTCATCTTGGATGAAGTTGCCTGTCCAGTTATACGATGGACAAACACACACAGGGGATCGATTCTTTAAGGTGGTGGGAAGCTGTGGCTTTTTTCAAAAATCCTCTCATTTTAACAAGCTCGTGATTTTGATTCTCACACACACGAGGAAGCCAATTGTTCCCGGCTCTTTGGTGTTAATCTGCCGTGGCTCCGGGATGCAAATGATCTCTTTTTCAATAAACTATTCCAGAGTTCAGCGGTAGGTTTCCTTCCTTTATTAACTTTATTTTGTCCCTTTGCCCTGTTAGATTTGTGCCCAGAATGTAATCTTTACTCCCGGCACTGTGACTTACAAAAGGAGTATTAACATTTTCTTTGTTAGGAAATGAGTGAATTTCTCCAAATAATAGCGAATGGGCCGTGATGGCGCCTGCAATGAAATTGAACAGCCAGCGTTTTGATTGTTTTTGAAGATGCAAATTGAAACATCTGAACTATTGGATGGATCGTACAGGTATTCTTGGTGCCCAGATGATGGATCCTCCTCACTGGTGATATTTCCCTTTAGCTACGTTCAGACTTTTAGAGTCTTCTCGGGGGGGTTTGCCATGAAGTTCTCTCCTGGAGACGGTCCATGGACTTTGAGATGCTCTTATGACGGAACGTCCCTTCAGCCATAGTTCTAATTTGGCTTTAGCGCTAACAAGCAAAACACTACACGTGTGTCATTTGGAGCACATTGGCGATTAGATCCATTCTTATTTGTTTGAATAAAAAATTAAAAACGTTAAATGTGTTTCTCAGATAATCTTTCAGAGAGATGTGAAGATTTTCCATTTACAAAACTGAACTGCATATAGGCTGAATCCAATAAAAGAGCAACAAAACCGTCACATTAATATGCAAATGTCCCCAATTATTACTTGGATGGCTCTCTATTATAATTTTCCTGGTTAGCGAATAAATTCCAATGAGCGTTTGATTAAAGCCGCAGCAAAGAGAGATGGAGAAGTAGGGCAGAAAAATCTGATTATGGAGAAGTAAAAATTTAAATGGGGAACACGATCTTGAAAGTCGTATAACGGACAGTTTTAGGCCGGCGGGGGGGAGGACACCCGGGGGGAGTTGTCTCACAACATCACATTTTAATGAGCAGATTGTTAAACCCAACAATGAAGTGACAAGTAAAACCACGACCTGGGGAGAGACGGTTTTGAAGATGAAACATGTCTGCCTTGCAGGCGGAGCGGCGTTTTCCACTTCGCTGGATGTCCTGTCCTCACCGCTCTCCCTCCTTTTCTGTCTGTCCCCCTCTTCTTCTCTCCAGTGAACATCCTTCCCTCACCCGCCACGTGTCATGGTCTCTTCCGCTGGGGCTGCTAGCGATGAGGGGTTTTGTGTCGGAGTTTGCGATCGTAGCTCTTGAACATCGTGTGCTTTTGTCTGCTCCTCCAGCACGGCGCGGACCCCACCAAGAAGAACCGGGACGGCAACACGCCTCTGGACCTGGTGAAGGACGGCGACACCGACATCCAGGACCTGCTGAGGGGAGACGCCGCGCTGCTGGACGCCGCTAAAAAGGGCTGCTTGGCCCGGGTGCAGAAGCTATGCAGCCCCGACAACATCAACTGCCGGGACACGCAGGGACGCAACTCGACGCCTCTGCACCTCGCAGGTACCGTGCACGAAGAATCGCCCGTGTAGTGGATGCGACGGCAAGCCGACTTTGAATAAGTTCCGAGAGGCTCAGGGTGGCGAGGAGGAGGAGGACGGCGGCGGCGGCGGCTCTTTAACCGTAGTGGCGTTGTCGAGCGGCGGGCAGCAGCCGTCTGAATCAGCCGGCTGATCCGCGACACAAGAGGCAGTCGTGCAGTACGACGACCTTGGAACTCGCACAAACTTGATGAGGTTCCTAATTCCCCATGACGGAGATACTTTTATTTATTATTCAAAAGGTGCACGTACTCTTTCATTTATTCCGGATCAGTGATCATGATAACGTCACCGCAGAGATAACGATCACCCCACTCCGTAACCCTGCGGCCTCATAGCGGTATTTCTTTAGTTTACTTTTGGCGACCATGTTAGTTAATAAAGGAGGAAACACTTTAAAGCTCTGCAACCTCTTTCTTCTTCATAGATCTGACCACTTAGACACACACCCACGCTCCCTCTGCCTCCATGTGAAAGGAGAAGATGATTACACGCTGTCACTCTGCAGGCCGACATGGCTCTCTGGCTATTCTTCCTCTCTCATTACCTGACGACATTTTGTGTTTCTCTTCTTTTTCTCTCTCCGTTTCATCCGCCTCTCCACTCGTCTTTCTGCGCCGCCCTCCAGCTGGCTACAACAACTTGGAGGTGGCCGAGTATCTGTTGGAACACGGCGCCGACGTGAACGCACAGGACAAAGGAGGGCTGATACCTCTACACAATGCCGCCTCGTACGGGGTAAGACGCGCACACACACACACACACACACACACGCAGTAGTTCAGTTCAAATGTAAGTTCAGAGATGCTGCTTTTATTTTCATATCTGTTCATGTACATTTTAGGGGGTGACTCATATCCAGTCAAATTATAGTGATGATCATCACACAGAGGTTCTTAGAAAACATGCGTGTTTGGAGCTTTTGGTGAATTACAGCCTGAGCTCTCTGCCACAGAGTCACCAGACACGTGTTTTAAGGAAAACCCCAAACAATGTTTATGAGATTCACACACGTACACTTCAGCATCCACCGGCACTCCGAAACAAGCTGCGTTGTGTCTGACGCCAATATGACAGGAAGGAAAGGATAGGAAATACCTGTGGCGAAACAAGAATCAGGGTGGAGGTAATAATTCACATTTCTGCCCCAGAGAATAAAGCATAAAACATTTGCTCTTGTGAAATGCTTTTTATTTTGCTCGTCTCACCACCACAATTTCTCTCTAATCCCCCCCGCCCCCCCCCCCCCGATTGCCTTTTCATCCCTCGTCCTTCTTCCCCTTTCACCTTTCCCGATCCGTTCCCGCCGCGTCTCTCGCCACCTCCTCCGTCCAGCACGTGGACATCGCCGCCCTGTTGATCAAGTACAACACGTGCGTCAACGCCACGGACAAGTGGGCGTTCACCCCCCTGCACGAGGCGGCCCAGAAGGGGCGGACTCAGCTGTGCGCTCTGCTGCTGGCCCACGGAGCCGATCCCACCATGAAGAACCAGGAGGGACAGACGCCGCTGGACCTGGCGACGGTACGCCCGGTTCCGTCACATGAGGAGCCTCGTAGTCATTAAGAGGACGAGACCTTTTTGTGTTGCTCATCGTCTGTTATTCTAACAAAGAAAGGTCACCTGGAAGTGAGATGATTCCACTTCCAGCAAACGCCTGTCTACATCCTGTCATTATGTCGGCCTCTTTATCGGTTTCAGGCTGATGACATCAGAGCGCTGTTGATCGACGCCATGCCGCCAGATGCCCTGCCGAGCTGTCTGAAGCCCCAGGCCACTGTGGTGAGTGTCCACACACACAGGAAGCAGTACAGGCCGGCTTTCAGCTAAAACCAGGCGCGGGGTGTCGAAGTGGGAGAGCGGAGGCGGTTTTAATTGTCAGTGGAAGTGTAAATTGAAAGAAGTAGAGATGTCATTTTTTTTGTCAAGTTTTAGGGCTCATACCGGCTGAAAGCGATGAATCGTGAAGGCTAAAATCAGTTTGAAGTTGAATTCCTAAGATTGAAAGCTGCAGAGGAGCGACTGTAGTGTGTGTGCGTGCGTGCGTGCGTGTGTGCGTCCTGTAACGCGTTTGACATGTTAAACCCTTTTAAACCGAATCGCCTCTCTTCCGCTCTCAGGTAAGCGTGAGTGCGAGCGTGGTGGGTGCGGGCGCCACGGGGGGCGTGGTTATCTCTCCCTCTCCGTCTCCGTCCTGTCTGTCTGCGGCCAGCAGCATCGACAACCTGACCACGCCTCTCGGTGACATCACTGTGGGAGGCGCCACTGGACCAGCGGACGGAGCGTCCGGGTCCGACAGGAAGGAAGGAGAAAGTTCATACGGTAAGTTGGGGGTTCTTCTTCAACCTAAAAGCGCGAGGCGTCGGCATGTGCAACGCGCCTGCGAGGCGTCGGCATGTGCAACGCGCCCGCTGACGTCACTGTGTCTCTGCAGCTCTGCAGGACATGACCATCAACCAGTTCTTGAAAAGTCTTGGACTGGAACACCTTCGGGACATCTTCCAGCGAGAACAGGTACACACACACAATTTGATGTAATGGGTCGTCGTGGCGCAGGGGTAGAGAGGGTGCGCTGGGAACTGCAAGGTTGGTGGTTAGAGTCCCGGGTGCCCCACGTCCCAGTGTCCCTGAGCAAGACACCTAAACCCTAATTGCTCCCCGCTTTGATTTAAACAAACGGATCCAGATCCGGTTTCTCTCCTTTCTTGGTTTTATTCAACTCATCTCATCATGGTCGTCGGTCAACAAAATGTGTATTTGTCCATCACATTTGTTGCAGTTTTTCTGGCTAAACATGCAAAACTACATTCCCTTCTGCCACGGCTGTGAGCAAATATTAGCTCACATGCCCAGATTAAGATGATTATGGTAAATATCTGAGCTGCTTAACATCAGCTTGTCAGTATTGTCTTCGGGAGACTGTTAGCGTTAGCATTTTGCTCCAAGCGCCACTGCGCTGAAGTACTTGAAGTACCAGACTTGCAGAGCAGCTAGAATGGCTGTAAACATTAAGTAAGATAGAAAGAGCTGATGTCGACAGAAGAGAGATGCTGATGGACGCAGTGAGTGAACAAGGGAGAAAAGGTAAAAATGAAGAATGCGTACGGAGGGAGACAGACTGGGTGACAGAGGGACAGAAAAGAGCGTTGAATTTAAAGGGGGCAGCAGGAAAAAGGCGTTGATGGAAATGTGGGAACAAAACTAGCTTCCCTTCAGGGAAACGAGGCATTAATATTCAGATGTAGATTGAGGTGAGAGTCAGCTCAGTAGCGTGACGTGATTTCTTTATTTCAGCATAACGTGAAACGAGGACCCAATCGTAACAAAGCTGAATACAATTTAATGGACTTTACATCAGTCAATACACAAAATTATCCTAAAATCATTCTTTTTTCCAACGTAAAAACACCGTAGTTGATTTGTTTGCTGTCGTAGGAGAGTTTAAGCACAGATTGCTGCTTTCAGGCCTTGCATGCAGAACCAACGATCATTTTGCAGCATAAGTAGAGGGCGATACGGTATCTCTGGCTGCTCCAGGTGTCAGATGTTGGCAGCTTGAGGCTCCACTTTTATTTGTTTTAAGGGCAATGACTTCAAAAATCGTCTGCAGAACTTTGTGAAATGAAACTGGGGTTCTTGTATTAATGAGAAATAATGACTGACTCCGTAAACACCCAGCGGGTTATTTAGGCTGCGATCATGTCGAGCCACAGTCAACACAGAGCAAAGTAGGTAAAGGTCGCGGTTTAATAAGCACAGTTGTCTCAGCCCGCAGCATGAATCTCATCTCTACTCTCGCTGGGAAAACTCAAACTTCACCAATTTGCATATCAAACCCTGACAACTGCCGTTCGTTCATTAGCCCTCAGTCTCTCCTTTGCTCGTGAATATTTTTCTGACTCATTGTGTTTGTGTACTTGTATACCGTTAAATAGTCGTCAGGTGTAGAACTACACAATGGCTGGAAAGGTTTTTGTGCATTATGGTGATTGGAAGTGACCGAGTGGTTTGTTGTTTCTGGGCAGATTTCCCTGGACGTGCTGGCAGACATGGGCCACGAGGAGCTGAAGGAGATTGGCATCAACGCTTACGGTCACAGACACAAGCTCATCAAGGGCATCGAGAGGCTGCTGGGAGGCCAGCAAGGTCAGTGAACAACACACACACACAACTTTCAGATTGTGACTCTTTACCGGTTAGTTTGCTCTTTGATTCACCGATTGTGTGTTTGCAGGTGCAAACCCGTACCTGACGTTCCACTGCTCCAGCCAGGGCACCGTGCTCATCGACCTGGCGACGGATGACAAGGAGTTCCAGTCTGTGGAGGAGGAAGTATGCAAACACATTTTCACAATTGTGGTTGCTGCTTTTTTTTTTCCACTACTACATTTCCTGAGGAGGGCTCGACGTTTTTTTTAATGCTCATGATGAGTGATTCTAGACATCTGGCAGAGGAGACAGCTCACACTGTGATCGTGGCCGTTGCTCCATTTCTCTCTGAACAGACAGCCGATATCAGTCTGAATGAATGATGACCGTCACTTCCTAACAGGTCATTTAACGCGTCATTTTTTTTAAATGACCATGCGTTCCCCCTAGACAGTTGCCACTACTGGGTCGAGGTCGTCCGCCTGTCCTCGGCAGTATTTCATAGGTCATCAATAGTTTCTGTCGTCGGGGGGAGAACTCATTTTGCGCGTGGGGGGGCCATCGCTAAAAGCGCGACACAGAAAACGCTCGTCTAGTCGCGTAAATCCAGCTTCTGGACTCCGTTTTGCTGCTGATGCCACACTTTTGCAGCCGCACCGGATTTCCCACGGGAAATTTAGACATCTGCTGTGATTGAATGAGTTGCGGCTCCATCACGGATCACATGGCCCTGTAACCTTCAATCTACAGTTGATCCCAACTAAAACCGATCGAGTAAACTGGATCTAAAGACGAAGGTTTATATGTTCAGTCCGTCCACCTCGCTTTTATCGCCGGCTGCTGCTGCTGCATAATGGACGCACATCTGTGTGGTGCTGTTGATTTCCACCAACTGCATCCTGCAAAATGACAGAGCCGTGATGTGTGACTGTTAGTCACGTCTGTACTACACACGCCGGTAAATAGAGAATACAAACGATCACGAAAACACTCCCCGGTGGCTGAGGGGAAAAATGATAAAAGGTATCTAGGCGGCCCAACGAATAACACCTGCCGTTATGAAATCTGAATTCCATTAGCATGTGTTATCCCACTCACACACGTTTTTTGATGTCTGGTCATTTTGTCCTCAGCTCCAGAGCACCATCAGAGAGCACCGCGACGGAGGCAACGCGGGGGGAGTCTTCAGCCGGTACAACATCATCAAGGTGGCGCTCTGCAACACACACACAAGTTCCCCCTGTTTGACATTAGAAAAAGGAGGAGTGTCAGTCAGTCACTTCCTTCCTGTGACTCTGCAGATCCAGAAGGTGGTGAATAAGAAGCTGCGGGAGCGATACTCACACCGACAAAAGGAAATAGCGGACGAGAACCACAACCATCACAACGAGCGAATGCTCTTTCACGGTAAATTGACACCGATGCGTTTACACGTCCTGTGGATTTCTCGCTTTCGGCTCCCTTCTTTCTACACAATCCGTCTGTGACACCTATCGGTTTTTGGAGCTGTAAGATTTAAACGCACCAAAAATCAAGCTTTTCCCAGGTTGAAAACGCATGTCTATGTACAACGTGTCCAACTCGGTCACATGCCCTTTGTAGCTTAAGTCACACACCTACGACATGCAGATCTACTTTATTATGGGGCCGAGGTTCAGTCCAAAATGTGAGGAGGCTGACACGCTCTTCCTGTGGGAACACCCCCCGCCCCCCATACTGCTTGGGGAGGTCTTCCAGATGCCCGTAAAGGAGTCCTCATCCGCACAGTGGAGGTCTACAGGCAGAGTATACTGCATATCTTTGTTCGCTCTCTACCGACAGGTTCTCCCTTCATCAACGCCATCATCCACAAAGGCTTCGACGAGCGGCACGCGTACATCGGCGGCATGTTCGGTGCTGGGATCTATTTCGCCGAGAACTCCTCCAAAAGCAACCAGTACGTGTACGGGATCGGCGGAGGCACGGGCTGCCCCACCCACAAAGACCGCTCCTGCTACGTGTGCCACAGGTGAGGCGTCTCGTGTCCCACAATGCATTGCATTGAGTGACACAAATACAAGTTGCTTTCTTTGCTTGGCTGTGGTTATCCAAAGCCTGACTTTTGATACGGACATGATTCCTTTCGTACCAATTACAAAAGACAATAGGATTCACTGTAGGAAGCTTAATGATATTAACACATTAAGAATACATTTATTCCACGTGATCTTCCCGCTCACGGCGTCATTCTGTGTTTGCTTACTTTGCAGGCAGATGCTGTTCTGCAGGGTGACGCTGGGAAAGTCGTTCCTTCAGTTCAGCGCGATGAAAATGGCCCACGCGCCGCCGGGACACCACTCCGTCATAGGGCGACCCAGCGTGAACGGACTGGCGTATGCAGAGTACGTCATCTACAGAGGGGAGCAGGTCGGTACACAAGCACACAGCAATGTGGTCACAGGATAGCTTTAAAAAAACACTCAAATCCAAACATACGATGGAAGAAGCAGCACATCCTCAGTTGAAATACATCATCTCATAAAGATGAGCATAATAAGAATAATCGATGTGCTCTTTGCCTACAGGCTTACCCGGAATACTTGATCACGTACCAGATTGTGAAGCCGGAGACTGTGGCTACGCCTTCTGCCCCCCCCGAGCAGAAGTCCTAAAATGCAATCGCGGTTGGATCTGAAGGGGGGCGGGGAGCAGGCAGACTGCGATGGACCAGCAAAGGGTCTCTGAGAGGAGACTGGGAATGAACTAGAGGGCGTCTCAAACCTCAGGACCCTAAATTAAAGTCTCCGGAGATGAACTTGAGGTGGGCGAGGAGTCGACCGGGCAGCGGTCAGACGACCCTCCGAAATGTGTCTTATCAGGCGAAGAAGCAGCGGAGGGCGGATTTCGGGGTGCGCTACACGCAACAAAAAAAATCTGATTCCTTCATTAGTTTGGGTCCAATTTCACTGGAGAAAATGTAAATGGTTTGATCAACCTGGATGTGGATTTTTGAATGTTCAGGCCTCTCGGCCTCGATCGCAGACACAACAGAACACGATACAAAGCAAAAGAAACGTCCCCGATGTTGAACCTCGTGTAATCTATCCCTAGTTTTTAATGTGTTGTCTTGCTCTTGTCCTCTTTCGCACTTGTGCGTAACGAAATCTGGCGCATTTTATTGTCACGTTGTCACCAACGAGGCTCGTGTAAACAAGACAGCGCTCTGTCTCTCCCACATCTCCACGGCTGTAGGCAAAGAAGGAGTTATGAAACCGGAGTGAGCCGACGGAAGTAAACGAGATTACAGCAGACAAATACGCACAAGTCAACAATCCACTGCTGTGGGGCTGAGTTGTTACAAGCGCCGGCAAAACGGAAAAAGATTTACTAAGCATACTGCTTTCTGAGCCTTAAAGGTGCTAAATTCTAAATATTTTATTGTATTATAGTGAATGGTACTTGAATGGAGAATGAAGTCTCTCTCTCTCTGCGCGTGTTGGAATCTGAGGTCCTCTTTGCTTCGTCTACTTGGACGGGTTGCGTCCCTCCGGGGAGCCGAAGGGCGCCGTCCCGGCCCGCGGCCTCAGCTCACCCTGGCTGTCTGTTACATCATCTCCTTTGGGGTGAGAAGTGACCGTTACAAGAAGTAGTTTGGGGGACAAAAAGGTGCACTTCTCAGAGTCCACTTGGAGTGAAGCATTTACAAACCACACGCATTTCATAACTTTCTGCTCCGTGTGTGGCAGCCGTGATAAACTTACATCCGGACCATTTTCGAAATGTCACGTGGGTTTTACATTTCCCCGTTTTCTGTTGTTTACAAACAAAACAAAAAACCTAATGCCTTCTGGGCCCTTTTCCTCTACCGGTCACTGTTGATGCCCCCGGTGGTGCAACGGGGGAACTGCTGGCTCGTAGTATTGATTTAAAGGAATAAACGGTACATCAGGAAGCCGCTTACCTAGGTACTGATGCTCAGTGCTATTTGTATGTTCCTGGGGCCCATTCCATTTAGTTTTATTTCCTTGTACGTGTCTTTATTCTTACGTCATCGTCACACTGTTGAGTTCACGCCCCACAAAACGTAAGCAAACGGGAAAGGTGACCCGGCGAGTCCCTGCAGCTGGTTACAGGCTTCAAAAAGATATTTGTATAACCAGAAGTCAATGTATATGTTGTACCTAAATATGCTACCATATTTCTATTTGTATTAACCATTTATAGCGACACACTAACACGAGAAGAAGCAAACTCCTCACGCGGCGTTCTGTACGTTTGAACTGTTTGCACTATGAATGAACATGTTTTCTGTTTATTTATGCTTATTGTAAATCAATGAGACTGTACACTACATGGGACCACTCATGACGTCAGCTTATTTCATGTCCAGGTCAAGTTAAGCAGTGCTGAGGTCTTGACCGTTTTAGAGAATGGAAAGATTGTACTATGAAACTGAGGGACAGGACATTTCATTCTAAGCTGCTCTGTTCGTACCACAGAATCCGGCTCGGATTTCAGCTGATGTGCACTTCAAGGTGAAGATGGCGCGCGCGGGTCCTCAGAGGAAGTCGACTGGTAGCTCTTTGACTATTTTCAACCACTGAGTTTTCCACATCAGCAAATTACAAAGAAAAATAATTAAATGAAAGTAAAAAAATAACTGGTGGGTTAAGTAGAATTGAGAGACCAATAGGCTTGAAATGAAATTGTCCTCGTGAACAGTTTTTAAAGTTTTGCAGCACAGTTACAGGGCCTGAACATATAAGACTGAAATAATACAAACCCAATGACCCTCAATTTATTGCGCTTTTGTAAACGTTTATTGCATTCCACAGATTTGCTTGATTCTTTAAACTTTTAAATGATCAATTTAAAACAAGGTTTATCAGTTCAGTCACAATTGTTTCCTGTTGTTATTTTAATAAAGCACCTGCTGGGACGTCCCAGGAGCGAGTCAGTGCAGACTGAACGGTTCCTCTTGGCACATACAGACAGAACTACGGGCTGACGAAGGCGCTGTGGGCTTTGTTGTAAATAAGAATACTCTAGATGGACCATTTATGGATTGTTTTGAGTTTATTTTATTCCTTTTTCTTCTTTTTAAAAGTGAAAACTAATTGAATTGTGTTCAAGTCGGCCAGTCGGCCATCTTGTTGTAAGTCCTTTGGAGCTGCCTTCACTTTAACACACTTCCTGATGAATGATGTCTGTTTTCCTGTTGTACATTGCTGCTGACCAGTTAACATGTGGAACAGAAAAAAATAAAAAGAAGTTAGTGTTTTTTTGTCTAATCCTTTTTTTTCATTATTACACCTGCAGAAGAATAACTACGATGTTACATTTGCCATCACAATTCATGATTTATTTATTACATATTAGTATTACTTTTTGGTCAAACTTAGGGTTTAACACATGAGCTTTTTGGTCGTACTATAAGATTACTCTAAATAAATTCTTTTGACGTGCTACTTATGGAACGCTATATGACGACTAACGATATGAGATTCTTTACATTGACTTTTTTCAACGTGCTATACAAAGTTATTTTGGCATATTGTTCACTAACTTTTTGACATGCTAAAACCTTTCGAAAATGAGATCCAGTTTTACCAATGTTTAATATTATGTGAGAAAAGTGCACATTACAATATATGAATGAACGTATGAATTTTTGACACGCTGCATTATGACTTTAAAATGACCTCCTTCCAACATGCTACACAATGACCTTTTTCTACATGCTACACTATGACTGATTATTACTCTACCCATTGACACCCATTCATAAGCCGCAGGTAGAGACCGCTGGAGTCATTTGGGGTCAAGCTTCTTGGCCGAGGACACGTCGACAGGGACGGTCTCTGAGGGAAAGACGAGCCGGCTTTGATCCGGGGTCAAGAGAGGTCAAGGACAGACGTGAAGGAGAATTCAAAGCATATCGGTGCTCAGAGAACCTGACTGCTGATGAACAAGGTGCTCTTTTGAACTACAAAAAGAATCTCTAACAGGTACATATTTAACATGCGCTCCATCCCTTAAGGAGAAGGTTCTTCCTGCTGGTCACCCTTTACAATGCACACGGATCACATTCCAAAAGCTATTTAGCCACACGCAAAATCAATAATACTGTTTCATATCGATGTATCTTAAGTGAAATCATTTTAATCCCTTTCATTAATTAAAAGGGCTAGCTCGTTTTTTCATTAATTGATGCTTCTTGTTGAATGGCCATAAGATAAAGGATTATCTCGTCTAAGTCAAGGACGCTCCGGGGAAAGAAGTGACTTCATTACCAAAGTTGTAATTAGAATTAAGAAAGGGACTATTGGCTTACAGTTGGAATAGTTTATTTGATGATGTATTGAGTTATGAAGTGTGTGTGAGCGCCCTTCAACTTTTCGGGAAAAAAAATATCAATTCTTATAATTTATGAGGATTTATTTTTTGTAGCAATATTTACTGTTGAATAACTTTCTTTTTAGGTTTAATTTGTAACACGAAGAAATGAAAACAATGAAAAATCTGGACTTTTTTTTTTTAAACATATTACACTAAAAGGCCCAAACACGTCCAGTAGAGCAACTTCAGAACATATATTAGTTTGAGACCCACAGGTTTATAATATTACTCTTCTCCCCCTCCCGTCTCACTCCGTCCACTAAACAGTAGAGGTTATTATTGCCTGCATTCATATTTGAACGGCATGTTTGGACAAATGGGGAAAAAAACGACAAAACCAGGAGGCATTTTTTGGTTGAAAAGAAATCTACGGACGACAGTGAAAAGTGAAAGTTTTCTCAACTTCGGTTCATAGACGTCAATACGTTAATGTTTCATCCCGTACTTTGTGCTATATCGTTATTTTAGAGATTTAAGAAGTTTCTGACATATTAAAAATCACGCTGAAAACTGGTCTATCCCTGATAAATTGCTTGCTGGGAACTTACAAGTTATAGTCACAGTTGACATGTTAACAGCCCTCAACATTATAGTATTTATTAAATAAAAATATAACACTATACATATGCCATTTCTTAAATAAAAAAAGTAAAACACTTCAGGGAAAATAAACTATGAATTAAAAAAAAAAGTATAAACATGGACAAGTTTATTTAGAAATCTGTCTGTAGCCCATTTTGCTGAATTTTTGGAACTTCATTTTCCGATCCTGTAACAAGATCTGGTTCTGAGTCACGAATTGGGATAGAATACGTGAGATCAGCTCCATCGCCCTTATGGTCACTTGATTCTTTGTGTAAAGGGAGTCAGAATGCACAGAACACCCCTCAATTACAGATATGGCTGATTCCTCCGGTCAACGTGTTAATTCAAATCAAATCATTTTATTTTTGTACAGCCCAAAATTACAAATGAGCATTAGAGAGCTTTACAGTCCGCAAACATGCAACTTCTGGTCCCGAAACATGGAACAGGAAAAACTCAAATGGAAAAAACAGAAACCTTCAAATGAGAGAAACCAAAAGGAGAACTGCAGAGAAAAAAAGTGTGTACAGAATGAACAACTTAAAGATTTAGAGTACGTTCAATTCCTACGACAGAAATGATTCAAATATTTAGTAGTAAGCCAGGTGTACGGCAGGACCACTGCAGGGACAACCTCCATCAGGCGTAACCTCCATCAGGCCTCCAGCATCCACAGAAACCTGTGAGGAGGGAAAGCATAAAGACTTCAGGAGAAAAGTTGGTAATATTAGTTCATGATGACAGAAATTGTAAAGTGACTAATAATAATAATAATAATAATAATAATAACAACAGCAGCAGGCGTATTAGAACCCTCATTGTGTTGAAAAAAGATCCCGCTGGTCATCATCAGTTGTGTTCAAATTAGCTCCCTCTATCTTTAAGACTTAATATTGTTAAGTAAATGTACTTATTTGACAAACAAGATAATTAATCACCAACGTATTGCATTTCTGGAGTAACATGTCCGGCGCTATTGGACAGTATCATACTTTACATGTGCTGCTTTAAGGGCGCAGTAAGTTAACTTACAATGTTTGGACCCGCTTGTTTACAGACCACAACTGGTTGAATTGAAATCTGTATTTATCCTTCATTGCTATAAAAAGGCAATAATATTACATGGGTACAACAACCTAACTCATTAGCAACACCAAACACACGGACAATATTCTGGGATGTTTACTTTTGGTCCAGGTTACCATCATGACCGTTAGCATGCTCCAAGCTAGCATACTAACTAGCAAACTAGCTGCCTTACCGCTAACCAAAGTTAGTTTACTAGAAAGAGCCCGTATGGAGAGGACAGCACAAGCAAAACAACTGGTTATGGTTCCAGGTGTGCTTCATTCAAACACCCACGTACTTACAGAGTATTGGAGCCGGTAGCCGTGGTTCTATCAGCCGGTTCATGTCGCTCTGCTGCCGCACAAACTTCGCCTCGTGCCGCATCCGGTGGAAGCGCTGCAAGCGGCCAAGAACTTGCGCATGCGCGTTACAGATGTGAGCGGAGCGTAAAACTGACCGCATTGCTACGTCTTAAAAGCATCTTGTCCATATTTCTGACGTTTTAGGTGGAGCATTGCGCCGACCATTTTATTAAAATCGTCATGATAATATAGTCTCTTTCAACCTTACGTTACAATATGACACATTATTAACAAATTAACGTTTTGCCCACTTTTTAGCCGGTTGAAACGAGGTCGCAGACGTCCAGACCGCATTTCAACCCGATTTCAACCAAGATAAAAGGCAATTGATTACTCACCATCTCGGCGTTACCAGAATCAGAGCAGAGGCTCTTTCTCGGTCACATCATCAACACAATGAATCATAACGTTCATCTTCGTTCATTATCGCAGGCGCCAGAAACACCTGCGTCGGGCCACCACCTGATCACACTGACCTCTCGCCTCATTGACAGCGGCGCTGCGCCCCCTTGTGGCGGGAGGTTTAATGACATCTACACAGCGGTAGATGATCCTTCTCTATTTACCTTCATCCCACCTTCGCTGCCATCCGTCATCTCACCACTGGTCTCCTTTTCCCGACACTTTGAACTTTGTAGTCTACCTGCAACGTGCAAAGTGAAAGTTCCACAGTTTCTTTGCATCTGCCTCAGACATAAATCCGGTGCTCTAGATTTAGTTTTCCGTTGTTCTGAGTAAAACGTCGCGATCAAGACGACAAAGATGTTTTTGGGGTTAGTTGGACAATTTGGGCTCTGATCGGTTCTTGAGGTAAACGGCATTTGTTGAATGAATTTTATCTGAAGAGCTGAGGACGTGTACATGTTCTGACCACTAGGCGGCGCTGCGCACCAACATCTCAGTATGTAAAGGGGCGTGAAAAACATGGCACACAAAAGAGGTTCCTGGTTTTATAAAGGACACATGTTACAGTGTCCATAGATTTAGACATTTTGAAATCGATCTGTCGATTCATGTAAAGGATCAACTCTACTTTACGTTTTTTTTTTTATTCCCACGTAACCCACAATATAGGTTCTAAGATAAATATATTATTCACTCTCTCTGTGTACTCATACTGAATATCTACTCGGTACCACAACACATCTTACAAAGAAAGCACGTACAATGTATTAATTAAGAACATTTTTTTATTCAACAATGGATCTCCAGTAATAAATAAACGCACAGATTCATTCCACAATAAAATTGAGGGAAAGTGGTCTTTTTTTATATAAATTTCCGAGTCAAGGACTGATATTGCCATGATGGGTAAACAGCGTTGACCATACGGAGAGACAGTCTAGACAGATGGACCAAGAGAGGCAGACAGACAGACAATTACCACAGAGATGGGTACAAAGTATTGCGTTTTTCACTGATTGCCTCTCTTCTCTCTCTTTAGATGGACAAAATGTCCTTATGCAAAGTCTAGTCAATCTACCATCACCATGATGTGCAAATCAATCATAAATTATAAATACAGTATTGCATCACTTCAAAGTGCTACAAAGATAGGTGCCGACAATCTTCAAAAACAGAAAAAAGGTTTGTTATTTTTCCTGCGTGTGTGTGTGTGTGTTTCTGTCGAGCGAGACTCGGGTATAAAAGCAACCGTGGTTGAAATTTGTGCCTTTGGATGTCTAGCACAGAGTGTGAAGCTCCGCCTGGTCAAAAGCACGAGCAATACAAACACTGTCTCAGATTGTGACATAAAAAAAATGACATGACATTTGTGCATTACGAGCGCTATCGTTGTTGTCCGTGAGTGGATTTTAAGTGCAGTATTGCAAGACCTCAAAGTGCCACAAAAAGAGCTGTGGACAGACTTCAAAACCAAAGAATGACTGGATTATGAGGATGAATACCTGTTATTGGATTGTGGTCTGAAAGCCAAATCGTTTAGTCCCAGAGTCGCTTGTTTTTACAGTTTGGAATAAAAGATTGATGAAATGAATGAAGTGATTGTGTTTTCTTAACACATCTTAACCTGGATTTCCCCCAAAAGGAACAGCACAGAGGGTCCCTGATGTTTTAAAAGCAGAGTGTAAAACAGATGTTTCAATTTCCTGTCTTCAAAATCCAGCCACAATATATCGAAAATAAATATTGCCTATAACATTTCTCAATTTTCCTACATTGCATATGAAGGCATACTTCATAAATGCATTTTTTTGTCTAATTTTGTCTAATTTTACTTACTATTTTGAGTTTTGCCTGCGTGAACTATTGATATTTCAAAGATCACAGTCACTGTATTGCTTAATATTGATTTTTTTCCAGAGACATTATATTAGTTGTTCTTGCGTGTTGGTGTCCATCTTGCAGTGGACGAGATGAAGAGAGAGCCGCCGGCCCTGTCGACATTAGGGAATAGGAGTCTGTGCTCTAAATCCATGGGATACCTTTATGAACAAGGCACAGACACGTCCAAAAGATAGCGAAGCGCATTTTAAACCATTGACAAAATAAATATTCCTCATGGTTTTCAGTTGCTGAGTGAATAAAAAACAACATGCGGAAAAGAACTCGAAACCACTGTCTTTAAAAAATTAAGCAGTTTTTAGAAAATGGTGAAAAGCCAAGATAAAATAATTATAATGAATGCAAACATTCAAAGCCACCAGGGCGTTGACCTCAGTGGCCTCCTTCCAGAGCCTGTGTGCCCCCCGAAAATCATCATCAACCTTTCAGCAAAAACTAAATGTTATCAAAATGTGTAGCTAGCGTGAGGGGTTTCCTACAGCGTGTATCAGGGGCCTGTAGTCATTTACTCTTCAGTGAGGAGATGAGGAGCAGAGGAGAGGGAGCAGGAGGGGTGAAGATGAGAGGCAGAGACGAGAGGAGGAGGAGGAGTATAAAGGGATGAAAAGGAGATGAGAGGACAGGAAGGTGTGTGTGTGTGGGGGGGGGGGGCAGAGAGAGGAAGAGGACGTATGAAAGACAGGAAGCTCCGGTCAGAGCACCTGTCACGGAAGAGGCTCCTGCTTTCTATCACCGTCTCCTCCCCTTCTTTTTTCCATCCATCCCTTTCGTCCGGCAGCAGGAGGGACACCCGAAGGGGGAAAAGAGCCGGTGCTTAAAATTCCTCCTTCCTTCCTGTGTCCATCTCCTCTCCTAAAGACCGGTTGTCTCCATAGCAACAGGCCCTGTCTTCATACTGAGCTTATTCACTCAGTAGTCACGAATGTGTGTGTGTGTGTGTGTGTGAGCGAGGCAGAGAGAAAGTGTCTGCTGCCGTGCATGTTGCTGTTTGTGTTATTCAGAGACAAACACTCGGCCCGGACGGGTCCTTGAAAGCTCATTTTTGGTCAGTCTGGAGGATTCTTGTGTTAAAACGGAAGGAGCTCGGGCTCGTTTTCTGCACACTAGAAACCGGTTTCTTGAGTTTCTAATCAGGCACCGCGACGCTTCTGATCCCCGCCCCCCCGGAAGCGTGTACACACTGCGGCGGGAAGTACGATTGACGGCTCCTGCAGCCAATGGCGGCCCGGTCTGTTCATAGTTAGTTAATTGGGTGGAAACGCTGCGGCCGGCCGTCCCTCAGCAGCCGGGGGACGTCGTGATCGGGCTGTGGTGCAGGTAGGCGGAGCTCACCACGGAGACCGGGAAGTTGAAAATGAACGGCGAGGTGGGCGTGGCCGCCGTCACGGCGGCGGCCGTCGAGGACTTGGGCCCGAGCAGCGGGCTGGCTGTGGCGGCCGCCTCGGCGGCGCAGGAGGTGGTGGCGAGGAGCTGGGACTCGAACTGCAGCAGCTGGCCCATGAAGCTGAAGTTGGGGGAGATGATGCTGCGGCGGCGGCGCACGAACTCGAAGGCCTCGTCCAGACGCACCCGCTTCCTCTTCATCAGGTAGGCCAGGCAGATGGTGGCCGAGCGGGAGATGCCTGCTTGACAGTGGACCAGCACCCGCCCGCTGGAGTCCCGTACGGAATCTGACAAGAGAGAGGGGGCGGAGTTAGAGGTTAGACGGGGCGGGTCCAGGAAATAGACTAAGCCTCCACACTGATATAAAAAAGGACTAGATAAATGGTAATGGATTTGGTAGAGATATCCAAGCTCACCAGATAATTAGTTCTGCAAAGTTCATACTCCTCCAATAAAATATCTCACATCTACTCAATAAATTGGCATGTTGAAATCAGCATTTTGCTGTAATCAGAGCTTGTTAGCATTACTGCAGACTGGTAATGTCGCAGACAGCTCGGCTGAAGCTTATTAAAATGGTTTTTGTTTGGTGTTGTATTTTTCTTTTTTTTCTTTCATCGTGTTTTTCTGCAAGCTCAATTTCCGTCATGGACAATGAGGACGATTTCTTGTTTATTTCACCTTCAAGCAAAAGGCTCCAAGAGTGATTGGTGCAGTTTATTTAAGGATCTTTCTCTTTTTTTTTTTTAACTCCTCCAAATGCATTTTTTTTTAACATCCACCAAGTTTTAAAACCTCAGCGGATGTACAGCTCTGCGTCTGACTGTTTTCATTTCCTCCCCTCTTTACCGTCACGTCTTCTCTGTGCAGCCGAACTACAGTTAAAACGAGAGAGCAGCAAACCCCATTGAACTGAAACATGCAAGTGCACAACTAATTTGAGTCATCGGCCTCTTTCACACTTCCTCCCCCGTCCTATTTATGCTTCTACCCCTTTCAGTACGGTTAGCCACATGCTATTAACTCGACACTGTGAATAACCAGATTTTAGTCATTGCTTCAAGTATTTACAGTAACTCCTTTGGCCTCAGTTTGAATGATAAGCGGGATAATCGTGTTCTGGAGCTTGTTTGGCGGCCTGAGCGAAAATTAGAAGCACAGAATATAAAAGGTGAGAGTGGAGGGGCTTGTTTAAATGTATTTGCATGGTAATTGATTTTATCTTATTTTCCATCACAGCCGACAAGGCGTCCGTTTGAAAATAAAATGAGTGCTTTGAATCCAGTTCACTACGTGACCTTTCTGGCACACAAGCAAAACATTATTGGCATCTCTGCAAACACACAGATTTATACCAAACAGCTTCCGAATCTCTAAATGTTTTTGTCTTTCACGCACAAAAACATTTCAGGTGACTCCACCACAGCGTCTGTTCACTCGGTAACAGCGGATGAGTCAGACTCTGGTCCCACAGCAGCTAACTATGACGCATACCAGCACCTACACACACACACGTACACACACGCTTACCAACACACACTCGCAGCACGGAAACCACACGCACAATGTCTACACAAATCATGGCTATGCAAAGCAAATGCAAATGACACACTTTCCTATATTAAAATGCACAAACAGAAATGAGAAATTGTGCGCCGAAGAAACGATTGATTGGAAATCGTTCTTGTCTTTCTGGTCTCCTGTTTGCTTGTGTTACATTGTTTGTTCTGCAGTGGAATCATTTAAATCCAGCAGATTATTTGGTTTTAATTATACAAAACACGTCTTCTCGCAGACATACTGAACCAACGTAACAACGTTTTTTTATAATGAAGTTAAACCTGAGCTTGTCTTCGTTAGTGGTCATCCACCATGGGAAAGCATTTGTTCTGCTAAGACACAAGCAACACACACATCCCACACTCCTTCACTGACCTATGAACTCAATGGCCTCCAGGAACCAGCAGCTGATGTCTTCTTTGTGGTTGTCCTCTACAGGAATGCACTTGTACTGGTACGCCCCCTCGAAGTGGTTGGGACAGTCGGCGGACACGTTCAGCAAGGCGGAGATTCCCATGTCGTCCAAGACCTCCTTCTTTGAGGCGTGGAGGGCGCTGCCAAGGTAGAGGAACGGGAGAATCTCTACTGGGCCGCCCTGGACGAAAAAAGACAGATGGGAGGATGAATGTTGATCTCGTATTTTGGTTTATGAATCATAAGTGAGCCGGCAGATTGTTCTGTTCTAAAGGCGTAGTTCATGGAGTCGTTACGTGAAGCCACATCTCCTGACCAGACCTGGAGTTTCTGAACTTAAAACCGCTTACATCACAAAACAAAGAATGCACTGTCTCGCTGAGCAGCGGAGGCCAGATGGCAGAGGACTTCAGTACGAGTGCGGCCGCGCTTGACTATTTTTCTAATCACATCGGGTGCGCCTTTCATCTGACAGGGGTTGCTTTATTATCTGTGTAATTAATGCAGGGTCATTTGATACGGGCTATTTAGTTCGTTAGTCGCGAGCAGCCACAGAAAGCGAACATATGATGAAATGATGATGAATGTTTGCAAGCTCAAGACACCGTTTCCTACTTGTCAGTGAGTACAACGGACCTTTCTCTGGGGGGGGTTTACGTTCGCCATGAGCTCACGTCGAGGACACCTCGCGCGTATTCTCTCCGATCACACTTTCATCAGTGGAAAAACACCAAAAAATGTTTGAGATTTCATGGTGTGCAGGTTTTCTTTGAAAGGGAACATAAAAAAAAATAGGTGGGTGTTGAAAATAGGAAGTATTGGGTCGGGCCCCACGGGTGTTTGCTCAGTCTTATCACAAAGAGGAAATGTTGCCCGTGAACGCGCTGACACATTTCACGAAGCCTATATGGACGTAAAAGTCTTGTTTTCCCTCTCGACGGCTCTGCGAGGTCAGCCAGCTGGCGCTCCATACCGGTAGTGCGGCGTATCGACGAGGCCTCTGGTCTGTTTATGTCACTGCCGCTGACGACCTCCGTACTGACACGGCGTCAGGAAACGATCAATACTGCTAAGAGAGGTAATGCGAGGAGGGCGGGGTGCTGAGTCGGATGCACAACAGGAAGCTACAGTATCGGCTGGGTAGCGTGGCCTGACACTATGAAGCGCTCTTCTTAGGGAACGCACAGAGGCCCGATTGTCCGCGTCTCGCTCCTCGTGCCCTCTGGCGGAATTAAACCCGACCACGTGTGGCCGTGAATGCTGCAAAAAATCGGCGCGCTCAAGCAGCAGATCAGCGACCCCTCCCCCCCCCCCCTCCAGGTCACAGGAAGTGACGCAGAGATTAATCAATGGTGACCTATGACCTCGGCTGTAGCGTGTTGAGCGACAAGAACTTCCAATTACGTTGTGATCCAAGGAAGGAATCCAAGATCATTTTATCTCCATTTATGGAAAGAAATCTTAACAAGCAGCCCACCCTCCAATCGTGTACAGTTCCCACACCACCTGCATGCGGTGCACCCCGGAGTGTGTTAACGTTGTTATTCAAAGCGTTCCAGCTGAAAAGGTGTGCGAGGTTCGGAGCTTGTCCGTCCCCTGCGTGCCGCCTCACCTGGTCGTGGTGTGGCGTCCCGCAAGACGAGCAGGAGGAGTCCACGCTGGACTGGCTGCTGAGGCTCGGTAAGGATTTGGTCTTCATACAAAACTCTGGGTATTCTGAGAAAAACCTGTCGTATCCACCTGGAAAAGAGACGTCGCGTTTCAGGTCCAAAGATTTTTTTTTACTTCCCATTATTTTAAAGCAGAAAACACTACAGTGGTGTACAGTACAAAACAGGGCAATAAACCACCCGGCACATTCTGCACTGACGAAGTCTATTAAACCAACCCCCCCCCCACCTACTCTCTCCTATATCTAGTGCTAAATTGAAAAAAATGCCATCCTCCCTTTGCCTTTATTTATTTATTTTTCTTTCCACATCTGCAGGGCAATCGCTTCCCTCGGCACCTAAAGAATCCCATCAGATTAACTGGGAAATGTCATCTTTATAAAAACACACACACACACACACAGACAGACACACACTCCCGTGGTTTTAGGCGTCTACGTCATTGCGATGCACACAAAAACAGAATGCGCCACAGCTCGCAGCAGCTTTGCCTTTTCCAAATTCCCTGCAGTCTAAATATAGTCTGGTGGGTTAATCGAGCTTACAATTAAGATCGTACGGCTTCCCGTCGGTGATCTACTCGAGGCGGACTGTTTATGAAGGATCATGAGTGTCCTGTAAGTAGATGTGGCCTCTACGCATCGGCATTACCTCATGCACTCGGCTCACGGCCACGGGTCTGTGTGTGGATGTGTGCATGCATAAAAATAACAAGGACAGTTGGGGAACATTTCAATTGACAGCTATAAAAGCAACTTCTAATATATTTATGCAGGCCATAAAAGAATATTGATTATTTTGGTTAAACAATGTTACCAGTTGATATGAGACTATTCATGAAATTTGAAACCATTATTAGTATTGGCTCCAATTTAAAGATTAAATAAATCCTAATTTAGAGAAACATAATCATCTTCCAAATAAGTACAATAATTATTTCCATTTCAAAAATATATTTAAGTAGCCATTTTTATTTTGATATATCCGCATACAATAATTTAAAAATGAATAAAAATACAAAGAGTGTTTAAAATAAGATTACTTGTTTTCTATGAGCTGTTATTGCCCCCATTAAAAAGCTGAATTTAAACATGGGGTATGGAGTTGTAATTATATTATTATAATATATTTTGAAGACGCCTCGTTACCACCAGTGCGGGCGTTATACGGTCGGATCAGAGAACAGACACCACATCTGCGCGCACTACACCCTCCTACCACGCTGCAGCTGGACCCCCAACAATAAAATACCCCCCCTCCACCCCCCATCACCCCAAAAAAAGCTCACCTTTGAGCAGGTATATCTGCGTGCCGGAGGAGTCCCCGCACACGGCGTTGAGCACCAGGGTCAGCGTGCTGTCCTCCTTCACCGTGTCCGAGTCCGGCGTCCTCTCGTCGTACAGCACCACGGCGGAGTACATCCCGGCCCGCAGGCGGCCGCGCACCTCCTCGTCCCCGGCCAGGATCTGGTCCAGGCTGAGCACGGAGCCCTTGGCCCTGCGGCGCACGATGGTGTTGCAGCGCGCGTTCACCGCGCCGCGGATGTGCCCCGCGTTGAAGGCGAGGAAGGAGCGGCAGTCCAGCAGCAGGCACTTGGCGCCGTCGTCCTTCAGGAAGCGCTTCACCACCGGGCAGTCCATCTCGCCCAGGTCCTCCATTGCACTTGGTGTTTTAAGGCTGCGTGTGTTGGCTTCACTGTCGCCTCTCTGCGTGTGTCTGTGGGCCCCCACCGCGCGCGCGCGCTCCAAACGTCGTCTCGCGGCGCTGGTTTGCCTTTTTTGTTGTTGTTGTTGTTGTTGTTGCGCTTTGTCTAAACGCGCATCGAGAATCGCACTGCTCTCAGTCCGGTCACCTCTTTCCTTCTCGCTTCTCTCTATCCGAGTGGTTCTCCTCAGGATTGTTTCTCTTCTTCTTCTTCTTCTGCTTCTTTTTTTGTGAATGGATACACCGCGTCACGGCGGAGGTGACGTCAACCGGTAAGCAGCCAATAGCGAAGCGTCCAGATCCCCCGTCCCCCTTTCGCCTCCTCCGCCGTTCATTCATAAAACAAAATCGACATCAATGAAACGAGGGGCGATGGGGGGACGGGGGTGAGATTCCACTGGGCGTACACTGGGGTTAACCAGCTCATTAACGTGTTAAAGTGAAAAAATGACAAATAACGCAACTAAACAAGCATTCAAATATGTTAATAAAACAAATGAATGAGATATGTGAGCGGGCTTGTAAAAACATGATATCCCCGAGAGCTAAAACACAATCCTGCAACACCGTAGAGCTTTTTAGCCCCTTTGTTTTTTATTCTCCTAAAATTTGTTTCATAATATCATAATAATAAAATTAATATAATTTAATAAAATGAATAAGCGTAAACCCACTGCATGCCGCCTGAACCTTTCTAAAAGCGCCAGATATTTAGACAAAAACAAAGCGTAACATTAGTGAAAAAAGACTCACATTAATCATTAGCCGAGATATTCAACTGCTAATGAAAGCCGCTGTGTTTCCACTGGATGTGAAGGGGGTTGCTGTTCGCTAACATGGTAGGAACGTTATAGGATTACATTATAACCCACATGGCTAAACATCAACTAAAGCAGCATCGAGGTTAGCATTTTGATCTAAATCAAGCGCTGAGTGAACTATATTTCATCTTGTTTTTCCCATGAAGTTAACTGGCACACCTGTTATATTGATAATGTCTGGTATAATGTTCAGGTGGGTGTGCGTTGTGCGCAAACGAACATTTCTGTGCGTGTGTGTATTGGTCTAAGTCTAAGCCTCTGTGTGTGTGTGTGTGTGTGTGTGTGTGTGTGTGTGTGTGTGTGGGTGCGTAATCCAACGAGCGGAGACGCAATTTGCATCTCCCATCAAACAGCCTTAGTGTGCGTGCTCAGGTATTTGCATGTTGATCCCATTGCCATGGTTACCGGAGGAAAGAGAGCAGCAGATGAGACGAGGAAAAGGCGGACACAAACAGACTGACTGAGTAAATGTAAAAATGTAAAATAGGAACTCTACACTCCAAAGCTGTATGAGACAGACAAATAAACAGCATACTAAAAAATAAACCTGTACCATTATCAGATTTATAATGAATGGGTTTATGGTGTGGACATTTTGAGTGTATGTACATACAGGATATTGCTGTGTTCATTTTGTCCACAGACCTTTGTGCTCAACTCATAAAGTGTTCCAACAAGATGTAGCTGATCGGTATCCAAAAACTAATCAAATCAGCATCCCAAAACTGCCGACGTTTTTGGTAGTAATGTTTTCCTGTCAGTCTGACATGGCAAAAAAGGAAGAGAAACAAGACAGAAGGCAAACCTCGAACGGGGGAATATTACATGCTTATAACAATACACATTTTTCACATTCTATGAAAAAGAGCAAAAAAAGAATAATCTACAAATAGAAACAATAGGTGGTGGGTTTTGTTTGATTGATTTAAAATGCTTCTGTTAATCCCGCTGCAGTGAACTTTTAATCTTAATTAATAAAAAATAGCGACCACGAAATATCAAAGCGGCGATTTACCTCCCTTTCTAGAGCCTCTTATTTTGTCCCCGCCCTCACGTGATCGTGGTGCAGTTTGTTTGCAGTCCCGTGGTCACATAAACTAAAATCATAGCAGTAGTATTCATTTGAAAGGGTTGCCTCGTTGGAGAAGAAACTCGTGCTTATCACAGATCTTATTTTCTACATCAAGAATTCAATGGAAAAACCCCTTTTGCTTTTTGTTTTTTTGGGGCTCGTGTCCGGGTCCGGCCTACAAAAATACGTCATCCCTGCAGGGCTCTGATCTGCGAAGAAATCCCCTCCATGTGGTGTTGTTAAAAAAATGGAGGAGAGCACTGCCTCACTTGTCGATCAATATTCTCTCAGGTGTTCTGGGCCGAGATGGTGAAAAAACAAAGTGACTCTATGCAGAGAAATGTAGTAGGCTATATAGTCTGCGTGCATTTGAATGTGTAATATCATGTTTGCTGCCCGCGAGCGTGAAGTGCGAGCAGATGACCGAAGCACTGCAGCAAAAATAAATCACGGGCGAAAGGACCTTGAACGTTAACTGAGAGGTGAGATGGAAGATGGAATACGGGACGGCGACAGGCGAGACAGGGGTGAAGTGAAGATGACATGAAGGAAAAGGGGTGGAGGAAGGAAGGAAGGAAGGTGTGGGATGGATGATTGAGTCAGAAAAAAAAGAGGTGATTACTTGTGCCAGATTGCAGCCTCTAGTGTCCCACATAAACACTCACACACACGTACACACACCCACCACGCCACATTACTACCAACCCTAAACAACACTTTGCCTTGGCGGGATGGTGCTGCTGCCGTAGCAACAAGGGAGAGGTGTAGGAGGGCGGAGACAGTCCGGAGGAGTAGGGGGGGGGGGGGGGGGGGGCTGCAAGGGGATTGGCTTGGAACAGACTTTTGCGCTGATGTCATCCCTCCGCTCTCCCCTGCCCATCCATTCATCCCCTCACATCCCGCGCCCGCATGCTGTCATCCGCCGACACCGTGCAGGAGGGAGGGAGGGAGGGAGGGAGGGTATTTCTGTGCACGATCCTTGCACAGGCCAGTGTTGCTAAACACCTCTGGCGCTTCCCTCTCATCCGTCACGTTTACCTTCCTTCTACGTCTTTCACCCTCGGCGTCCTCACTCTACATAATGCTGCTGTTTCCTGTTTCTCATTTACAGGCACACAGTCACGTGGTGTGGTGGTTAGCGGCGTTGCCTCACAGGAGGTCCTGGGTTCAACGCCACCCAAGGGCCTTTCTGCGTGCAGTTTGCATGTTCTCCACGTGACTACGTGGGCGACGTGAGTAATCTGGTTTCCCACGCTTGGGGGGGGGGGGGGGGGGGGGGGTTGATATAATGGGGGGTCCTAAATTCCCCCTAAGGGCGTGAAAGTGAATGGGTTTTTGTTTTTCCACCCCTTCCTTTGTTTGGAAAAAATTTATTTGATATTTAAATTTCATTTGGGGGTTAAAAAAATGGCTGAAGGGTTTCTAAAGGGCCAAATTTTGAAAAAAAAAGGGTGGATTGTTAATTCCTAAAAAAAAAAAAAAAAAAAAAAGATCCCTCCCTCCTCTTTTATAAATGGGTATTTCCTGTGGAAAACTTTTGTTCCCTTTTTTTAAACCCTAAATCAAAAATTTAACCCGGGCTGACCCCAAAATTTTTCCTTTTAAAACAAAATTTATTTTAAATTTTTCCTTTGAAAATTAAATCAATATTTTGGCCATTTAATGTGAATCCGGGGGTTTTCGGGAGTTAATTTTTGGGTGAATGTCGTGTTTGTCCAGAGCTCTTAGTGGAGACTCTGTTGGTTAATTAGTAATGAAACAGGTCACCAGCTGCTTTGCCCCATTTCAATGGACCCAGTTACTGAACACACGCACACACACACACACACACACACATACAAACACACGCACACACACACACACACACACACACAAGGTCATTGCAGTGAGTCCCTTCTTGTCTGGACCACACATGCTAATCTAGTGAACCCGAGGCTGGAGACAAACTGTCGGCACACACACGCACACGTGCCTTATGGCCTCTTTCCTCCCACCGGTCATTTTGAAAGGGAATTGTGGGTTTCTTATTTAGTCATTATGTCGCTTACTTCCTGCTCAGCCTCACGTGCTTACACTGCGCTGTTTGACAACCCCCGACTGCCCAAATGAGCCTCAGCCAAGAAGGTTGAATCTGATCTGAAAAGCAGGTTGAATGATTAAAGAGAATAAAGAGAATACAGTTTTGCGTCATCGTGGCTGTGCTCATTAGCGATGGTTATGAGAGTCAATCCCAATCACACGTATGGAACAACATGACCACCGCACACCACAGATGATCTTCAGCGCCTCTCTTCACAATTTATTCAGCTGAGCCAAAAATAACCTTTGAGCCAAAAACTTTTTTCACCTGTTCACTCATTTAAACAAGCAAACTATTCAAAGCCAACTTTTTTTATTCCTCACTTTTCTCTCACACACCCACAAAAAAAACGCTTCCCCATTCAAATGTCTGTGTGTGCTTTGAATAGTCAAAGCAGCACCGGATGAGCAACGGTGAGCTCATATTCGAACCTATTCATAATTCAATCAAACATCTGTAACCTGGGGGACACGTGTCCAGTCAGCCGCTCCTTTCAAACTTGCAAAAGTGTTTTTCAAACTAAGAAGCCAGAACGTTTTTAGTAAACAAGAGCAGGAGAGAAGTTCACGATCGTAACCCGGGGGAAGGCTTTTAAAGCAGCTTGCTATGGTGAATACTGTCGGACGGCTTGAGTCCAGGCTGCACGTTTTCATACGTGGCCTTCTGGGTAATGTCCACGGGCTGCTGCTGCAGGGTTTACGGGCGGCAGCGGCGCCCAAGAAAAAGGTGAAGCTCACAAGCAGGCGTCATGTTAGGATGGTGTGATGACATGAAAAAGATCCAGAGCACAAATCCATCTCTGCCTTTTTCACACAGCTCATGCAAACACAGAAAGCGTTAAATACACCTGGTGGTGCAACATCTTAATTTACTGAAATTATTTCATCCAACTGTGAATGTGAAAGTAATAGTTGTAGTACAGTGTGAAGTGTAAAGTGTTTGCGTTTTTGAGCGGAATTCAGCGACAAAATGACAAAACATGATAACGCAAGAAAGTTAAAATGTGTCTCTACGCATGGATGTGGTGACGGGGAAAAAGACAAAGCTATTTTGTTGCTTTTTGCTATTTGGTGGTAACCATTAACCCTCGTGATGGATGGTGCTACCTCAGTGAAGAGGACGAAGGGCCAGAGCACAACTTGTGTGTCTCTCACACACACACACACACACACACCCTCCGCGTCGTGCCGTGTGGCACAGGTGCGTACGACGCAAAAGTTAACGACATCCATTTGTCATGTTTTCCATATTTTTGGGGGGAGAAACTGAGCACAAAAAGTGCGGTTACCATGGCGACGAGCGATTCAAATACAAATGAAGAAGACGGGCACGGACGAGCGTATCTCTCACATGAATATGCGGATGAAGAAACCACACTGAACTCACGCTGACCTGCGTCTCATGTGATCGTTTTTCGATTTATATCGTTTTTCCCGGAGAACCACATGAAAGGAAGCTGACCAGTCATGGAGGGGACAAGGGAAGGAGGGGAAGACGGGAGATGAATGGGGGAGGGACGAGAGGAAGCGGAGTGTCCTTGTTAATGTGACATGGTCGCATTTAAGTGATTGAATTTCCTCTGTGTTGGCGTGTGTGTGTGTGTGTGTGTGTGTGTGTGTTTGCTTACGAATGTGTATCCATGAGTCAATTGCCCAGTTGCTTCACAGCCAGCACGACTTGAGTTACACAACACACTACTGATCGACGTCTTTTCCCTCTGCGTCTGCTAGAGGCTCAAAAGGAAACCCGGGGCTGGAGGTGTTATCGCTGCTGAATCATGTTACAGTGTGTGTCCTGCGTGTTGGAACATCTCTCTCTCTCTTCTGTCGCGCTGTAAGAACATGCAGCAGAGGAGTCGAGAGGAAGTCAGACGTAGATTGTTGTCGAACTCACCGGGCGACCTCGCCGACCCTCGTGGACCCCTGAACCATCCGTTCACCACATATTTTTTGACATTTGAATTCTTCATTAACCCTTTCATAATCAGGCAGTGGAATGCGATTGAGATCATCGGGGGATTTGCACATATGCAAAGGAGAAAAACTGGTTATGGAAGATGAATGATACTGATTGGGAAACAGCAACGGCCTCGTCCAATTTCTCAGAAATTTCTCACGTTTGCTGTCTGAGAAGCAAACACAGTGTTGTGGAATGTTGCCTGAATAGAAGTCTGCTGGCAGAACTAACGAGGCAGATGCTGCCCACGGACACAATGTGGGTGGGCGTAATATTTAAAGAAATAAAAAAAAAACATTGTGAATACGATCATTTCTAAACAAAGAGAGCTCACAAGAACACATTTATTAAACAGGGCCTATCGCGTGGGTTACATCATCGAACACAGGCTTTGGTTCACTTATTGTGTAATATGACTTCTGACTTTGAACAATGAATGTTTCCATCCACGTGGGCCGCTCGCTAAGATCGAAAAATACCAGGAGTGAGACGGGAGGTGAGAGCTGCGAGCTCATGTAGACCGATGCAAGTGTGTTATTTTTACATCTCAGCACATACCGGAGGACAATGAATAAAGACCCAGATTGACTGAGATGTACACATACAGTATACTGTATTTGTATGCGTGTTTACGTGGGTGCATGTTAAAACGATATGTATTACGGTTTCATATTGTCACATTTGTAATGTAGAAATGAATGAATATGTAGGTGCATAAATAACCAGTTGCTGCAAGAGAGCACGCTGTGCACGTGGATTGAACGCCTCCCTCCCAGATTGCTCTCTGCTGTCACAGGTTACAGCAACGTCACATCGTCTGAAAATCACATCCTCATTCCGGTTAATCTAAGCATACGCCGGCATATTATATATATATATATATATAAAAATAATATGATATTCCAACTTCCACTCACAACGCTAAGATATAATCATATCAGATGTAAGGGTCAAGTCGCATTTGCTGGACCTTTTAGCTAATCTTATTGTGCTGTGACTGATAGTTTGCCCTTTAAAGTGCACACTACATTATCCACAATGGCTTTGCGGTGGATGCGCGTCCGTCCGCTTGTGCGCCAACAAGCCGCTTCCCGTCCGCTTGCCCTTTGCTCGCGCCGTCTGTAAAACACCCAACCGGCAAAGAGTTGGGCTGCAGGAACCAACGACACGATACTCGCGGGCGGAATTCTGGGAACCAAAGATAATTGGAGTGATTTCCTTTTTTTTAAAGATGATCAGATGTGTCCCAGTAACCGGCTCCCATTCTCGCAGCAGGGGAAGTGCCTCTTCTGTCAACATGTTTCCCATGAATAATGCCTCAAGCCTGTCGTGCATTTGTAATGGCACCGATACTTGTGGTTGCCAGGAAACACCTCGGTAATATTTTTGGCCTTGTGTCTGAATTGTGATCTCCTGCAGGGAATATTACCCGTTTCCATTGCACTTGAATTTAAGGCTTGTTTATCGCATTCAAGAAGGCAGCGTTGTGGGCAGCGTACTTTATTTCATCCAAATTGTGAAACCATCCAAACCCCCGGCGGGGGATTTAACACTGGAAAGTACTGGAACACACAGTCCGACTCCTACTTATCACACCGGTCCAAGACAAACACGGAGCACGAGTTCGGTTTCTAAGGGAATGCGTTTGTCTTTTGGAGAGCTTCGCCTTGACTCCTCGCGTTCCTGACTTCTGTCATTGTGACTGACAGTTGTGCACAGGCGAACATCTCCTCCCACACTCCACA